AAAAGGAAAAAATTAAAAAAAAAAAAAAAAAAAAAAAAAAAACCCCTGGATTTCCTGCAAAACCGCATGTTCAAAGTGCTTTCAGCGTCGACATCCTCTCTCACTTGTTGTTGTGGCTTCATCGTCCCTCGTGGCTGAATTGAGGTTGGTGCCCAGCTACCAGCCACCCGCGAAACTAACACGACAAGCCCGCAGGCACACAACTTGATATTTCCAGCTCGAAATTCCAAACTGCCTCGATGATGGGGTTGACGTCTTTTCAGGAAATCTCCTCACATCCCTGCGAATGTTTTATCAATAGTATCCTTAATCTTCCTCACGAGTCCTTCGATGTCCTTCTCGGTGACCGTGTAGGCTGGTGACACCAATACGTGGTCTCCTTCAACGCCGTTCATGCTACCCATGCCAGGATACAGCATGATACCCACGTCCATCAGCGCCGTCGTGTGCACGGCATTGGCTATGCCTGCGGTGACTGGGAATGGCGTCTTGCTTTCCTTGTCACGCACAAACTCAATCTATATTTACGTCAGCGGGCCCGTCATGCACCCCACGAGTTGCACTTACACCCCAGAACAGTCCCTTCCCTCGTACGTTGCCGACATTCGGATGGCTGTCAAGTTCCTGGTGTAGCAGACGCCCCAGCAACTTGCCGGTTTTCTTGACATTTTCCACGAGATTATCTTCGCGGACGATGCGCTGCACCTCCAAAGCGGCGGCGCACGCGATTGGATGGCCTTGGTATGTGTGGCCGTGAAGAAAGGCCCTGATGTCTATTAGCAGTCAAGTTGGCCGTATTTATGACTTGAACATACCCAGTTCCCGCCATGAGAGCATCTGCGATGCGGTGGTTTACCATCATCCCGGCCACCGGAGCATATCCGCCCCCCAATCCTTTCGCCATTGTCTCTATATCAGGCACCACACCCTCCTGCTGCCATACATGCAGCGATCCGCACCGGCCCATTCCCGACATGACCTCTGCTAAATCATTAGAAGGTGGTATTTTTCACGCCGGCTGGAAGTACAGACCATCTAAGATGAGCAGCGCACCGTATTTATCGCAAACCCGTCTCATGGCCTTGAAATATCCAGGCACGGCTGGGACGCATCCTAGGGCCTACCGAGAAGAAGCTCCCGTAAGCATATAATCCAAAGATTTGGTGGCTTCTAAACTTACCGCACCAACTACTGGCTCGGCAACGAAGGCGCAGACGGTTTCGGGACCAACCTGCTGGAACTTCCTGTCAAGCTCATCTGCCAGTTGCTCAACATACTCCTCAGTCGTCTGGTCTGGCTTCATACCACGGTAGGCATTGCATGACGAGACTCGATGCACGTTGGGTAAAAGCATGTCGAGGAATAAACTTCGTCGTGCGACATGTCCGCTCATGGACAGCCCGCCGATGGTAGTGCCGTGATAAGAGCCCTCTCGCGCAATAAAGTTGATACGGTTCGGCTGTTTCGGGTTCAATTCCATAAAATATTGTCGCGCCATTTTCATCGCTGCATCCATGGCCTCAGACCCTGAGTTGATGCCTGTTAGCCGTCTTCTTGACAAGGTGCAGATACAACGAACCGGATGACAAGATGTATGCCCTGGCCATAGCACCGCCTGTGCCATTGATAAGCTCGGTGGCAAGGTCTTCTCCTACTTGATGGCCGAAGAAAATGGAGTTGCAATAAGAAAACTTGTCCATCTGATCGATCATTGCCTGCCGAACTCTCTTGTTTCCGTGGCCTAGGCAGGCAACCGAGGCCCCGACAGTACTGTCCTCCACTTCATGCCCGTTGGAGAAACGCATACGCGTTCCATTCGCGGCCACGACTTGCAGTGGTGGATTTTTGATGTTTCTGTGCAGCACAGCGCTTTTGGTGGTAGGGACTGGTCGGTCGTCCACTGGCAAAGCAGTGGCAGCGGTCGAGGCATAACGGCGGGCATAGGACGGGACCACAGTCCTGGCCATTCCCGCATATGAGCATCTGAGGAGGGCGTTGGCCATGGTGTTAAATCTCAATGAGAAAACAGCTCGGTGCGTTGCTATTTCGTCGGACTAGTAATGAGTATCAGATATGGCGGACAGCGTGGCAACTGATAACAGGAGCGGACGGTGGCTAAGAGGGGCTTAGAAGCTTCGTTAGTTAGTGTTTGACATCGTCGCTATACAATCTTGCGATATCGGTAAGCCCCCGACGCCAAGGCAAGGGATCTAGTCATCTGGCCAAGCAGCAAAGCCGGGTAGAGACTGCAGGGTGTTGTCCATTGTCGACGGTGTGTTATGCGAGGGTAAGTTGAGGCGGGGCTTGCGGCTGTCGGGCTCTCCTTCACATTTCGATGCGCCCTCCGAGTGGCCGGTCTCATTTCTCCAGCCACTATAACAATGAGTAAAGATTATTATCATTATAAGAATAACAATTGCAGACCTTCTGTAATGTCTCAAGATGAATTTTTCTTTCTTTTTTTATTTCTTGTCATCATCCTTCTTTTTAGTACTTTTCAACTACTAGCAACCAACCGTTGTTTGCTTGATCTCTTAGCAGGCCCGTTCCCGTTATCGGTCATGCATAAATGTCAGTCAAGGTAACACTACAAGAGAATATGGATAAGCATAAAAACATGATAAATCGTGAAATCATCTTCTTATACTAATAAACTATAAATCTCCAAAGGCTATTGCCAAATCTGTTCACCGCCCAACTTTCCCTTCACCTCTAGACGTTGCACGTGACTCCACCGCAATCTTGGGATCGTGAAACTTTTGGCACCTTCCACCTTCTTCAACAAGACACCACACATATGATTATCGCAAGTCACATACGCTCGGCGTAGCACGCCCATGTATGCGGGAGTCGCGGCACTATTCAGGTCACGAGCCGTTCGGCTCGGCGTACCTCGAATTAGTGCAGCCGCATCGAGCCCAACGAATCTTGGTCGGCAGGCGTTGTCTTTTGCCCGACGGAGGCCCCTACACCTAAGCTCCTCACCAACACCCAGCACAACCACTTCTACCGACCCGACAGACACGACGCAACCGACCACTATCGTCAAGCCCAAACTTTCGCACACGAACCTGGCCCGTAACAGCGAAATTCGCTATGCGTACCGAGACAAGACCCCGGAGATCGAGGCGGCCGTCGAGGAGATGCTCGGCACGGCTTACATCCCACCCGCACGGCGATACCCCATGGCTGAGTCCACAGCGCTGAGCCTGCAGCGTGCACGACGCGTCGCGCGCATCCGTGTCGGCGAGGAGATGCTCGCGCGCAAGGGCGGCAAGGTCCGCCGTCGCGACGCCGCCGACACCCTCGGCCTGCTCAAGAATATGACACAGTCGCGGGGTCGGAAGCCTGCCATGCATGCCATGCGCATCGTGCTGCCCCGGGAATGGGAGCTGGACGTGTCCAGCGGCAAGAGTGTCGACTTTGTCGAGGCGCGCACCGGCCTGGCGGCGCGGCTGCGCATGACGAGCGACCGCGAGAACGCCACGGCGGTTGTGCTGCGTGGCCAGGGGCCCGTGCTCGCCAAGGCGGCCGACGAAATTATCGCTGTCTGTAGAGACGTTGAAATCTTCAAGCTCGGCGAGGTCACGAGCTTCGACTACGCCGCGCAACGCCTCTGGCCCGTCATCGAGGATGCCGAGGATGGCGGTGCCGTCGTCCCCCCCGGCCAGCTCGAGAACATCTGGCTCCATAAAGAGCAACAATATTGGATCGATTCTGCATATGAGAAGACGCCACGGCCCGAGGAGTGGACGAAGCCGTCGTTTGACATGTTTATAAAATCGTTGGTATACGGACGCCTGAAGCCGGGGCTGCCGCGTCCGGTGTACACTCACGGAACCCACACCGACAAGATCCGCGTGCGCATGATCATGGAGGTATTCGAAGACCCATCAGCGCGCCGCTTCATCACGACCCCGATCCTCAAGATGGCGCTGCAGTTCATGGCCGCGCACGGCGGCCACCGGGCGAGCGCTGAGCGCCTGCTCTCACAGGCCGAGCGCTGGGGGGTGCCGCTCGACACGGACGCCTTCAACATCCTGCTCGACTGCTACGTGCGCAAGCATGACGCGCGCTTCTTCCACAAGGTGCTCGTCAAGATGCGCGAGCGCTGCTTCTACCCCGACGCGCGCACCTGGCTGCATTTCCTGCGGCTCGTGCAGCGCGACGACGTCCGGCTGCAGGTCGAGGCCGCCATGTTCGACCTCGGCCTCTTTGACGACCCGGGCACGCGTCGCAGCGTTGGTGTCGTCACGGCCGGTACCCTCGCCCACCAGGCGTTTCGTGCCGGCGAGACGCTCCTCGCTTTCCTCGACAAGCAGGCGGCACGGTTCGGTCCCTCCTGGCTGGCCGACGAGGATGGCGCCGCCGCCAACGCCGTGCTGACCGAATTCTTCCTCTTTCACCCATCAGCGGCGGCTAGCCGGCGCTATCACGACTACCGCGTCCTCGTCGATCGTCTGGTCTCCGAGCGCGGTGGCAGCCGCGGTGCGGCCAGCGTGCTGCCCGCCAGCACCCTCAATCTCATCCTCGAGCACTGCGCCCAGCCGCACGCCCGCGACTGGGACACGGCTTTGTGGGCTCTGGACCGCGCGAGTCCCGCGACGAACCCCCGCGACGACAGCGCCGTCGGTGAGCGCGCCGCCGTCGCGACCGCCTACCGCCACCTCGTTGACCTGTGCGTCGGCACGCGCAGCCCCGCCGCGCTCGCCGCCGTCGTCTTTTACGCCGTCAATGAGCGCGCGCTGTCCGTCCGCGCTGCCCGCACGGCCGTCACCGCCGCGCTACTCGGCAAGGCCGGCGCCGGCCCCGGTGGCAGCGTTGACCACCATCACGCCTGGTGGCGCGCACACTCCCCGCAGCTTCTGTCGCGCGACATGGCCGCCACCCTCCGCAAGAATCCCGTCGAGTCCAAGGCGCACGCCGTGCGCGCCATCGAGGTCGCCATCCGCGACGCCACGGCGGGCTACGTGCCGGCGGAAAGGCTCGTTGACGTGCTGCGCGCTGCGCAAGCACTCGACCAGCAGCAAGACGCCGCCGCCGCCAGCAACGAGGGCGACGCAGTCGGGGAACGACCAGCGCTCACGATTGCGCTCCTTAGCGTCGAGGATAGCGGCGACAGCGAGCCGTCGCCACGCACCGAAGTCTGCCTTGACAGCGCCTTTGACGTGCGCCGCATGGTGCTGTACAACCAGCACGCGACGCCGCCCTGGCGTAAGCGTAGCGGCGGCGAGACAGCGGCGAGCGCAAGCAGCAGCAAAGCAGGCGCGTCGCCGTCCTCGTCTACCCACACAGAAACTGTCCAAAGGGCAGACGAGGAGGCGGAAAAGGCGTCCGCAGCGGAACAGGGCGGCGAGAAGAGCAGCGGACACCACCCGCTTGTACAATATCTGAATTCATTGCATTAAATAGGACAGGGAGGGCACAGGGTCTCACAATTTTATAGACATATAGGACGGAGCAGCAGCGTTGTACTATAAAGTGAAAAAAGGTAGAGGAAATCTAGATACCCTTACATTCAGAGTCAACGTTCTTGTTCAAGGAATGAATTTTCAAGAGGAAGCTGTGTATGCTCGAAAAGAATACCCGTACTGCCATCGACGATTATAACTAGCTTTTCTTTTGTCTTTTGTGTTCGTAGTACTTGGAAGATACAAACCCCAGCATCCATACCTCTCATCTCTCGTGTATCCATCGCCCCCTCTCTCGTCTTTGCCAAAAAAAAAGTAACAATAAGATATCTTGCGTTCCAAAACTTCCGTTTATTCTCTTTCCTTCCCTCCAGTTCCCATCTTCGTTTGCGTTTCGTGGGGGGCGAGATCTCGTCCATCTTCTCAGCCCCCTTCCTTCTATTGGTCATGTCATCATTGGCTGAAGAGAAGGACCACCACCCACCCGTCCATCGGCACCTATTCCTTTTTTTCACTCGTTTCTTCTCCTCACGTCACTTCCTTGCTTCCGCAAATTTTCCCGATTCTTGTTTCAGCTGCACAGCTCGGTATCATGGCGCACGGAAAAAATTTCATGTCTAAAGAAAAACCGACACTGCTCCTTCCGGCGAAACCCAAAGCGTTACTAGCAGATATGGTGATCGAAAGAGAACATTGGGCACATAGGGAACAAAAAAGGTATAGGAGGATATCATCGCCAAAACATGGAGATCTTTGAGGCGTAAGTTAAAGGTGAAAAGCAAAAAAATTAAGATGTAGAGGAACGGCGGTTGGAGATGCCTTCATCAGTCGTTGGGTTCCATTTTGACACTGTCACCCGGTTCTGCCATTGCATCGTCACCCCGGCTTGTCAAGACGACTACCTAGTCCTTCTTAGTCTCTTCCGAGGTGGTCGCGTCTTTCTTTTCTTGGCTGTCGGACGCGGGTTTGGAATCGGCGGCTTCGTTTGAGGTCGAGGCTGGGGTAGAAGGCTCTGCATTGATATCCTTGGTGTCCTTGTCGTTCGTCGTAGGTTTCGAGACCTGGCTCTCAAGGTCCTTGTCTTCGTCGGCATCATCGAACATTTCGGTATCATCTGAACCCGTAAGAACCTCTGTGCCATCGCCGAGGAAGATAATTCGACCGCGAGACCCACCACTACCGAATCCCTTCTTGCTATCGGCATCCATTTCATATCCGCTATCGCTGTCCTCGTAGTTGTGGTGCACGCCGGGGCCACGGAACTCGGCTGAGGGAGAGTTAACTCTGGGTGCTTACGAGAGCACTTGGGCGGGCTCTGGTTCAGTATCCATACCATATTCGGGAGGCGCGCAAGGACCGTCACCGTTGGCAACACGCTTGGCAATCTCGTCGTACCATTGCTCCTTGGTCTTGCCGTTGAGGAATGCGACAATAATCATGGTCATGTTGTCGCAACCGACACCTCCAGTCTCCGAGTTGGAAGCCAGGCAATTGTCCATCATGTTTTCGCAAATCTTTTCTAGGTCCTGCTTGGCGGCGATGCCGCGGCGAACGAATTCGACAACAGCCTGTGAGGATTGGCAGTCCCAGATACCTGTGTAGAGGTCAGCATCGCGACCAAAAAATTTTTACTCCTATCTTTTGTGTAGTGGCGTTTCAGAACATACCGTCGCAAGCAAGAACGAGGAACTCATCCTCGTCGGTCAAATCATGCTGCTCGACATCAGGGAAGGCAGTAACGATCTGAGACTCGGGGGGCAGCTCAGCAACCTTCTTGAACTCAAAATCGCCAATGGCGCGAGACAATGCCAGGTTGCCATTGACACGTCCAAAATCGACAAAACCGCCAGCGGCAGTAATACGGTTCTTCTCGCTCTCAAGTTGGGGCTTGTGGTCTTCGGACATGGGTTTAGCGCGCCCCTTGATGCCCAAAACACCTCGGGAGTCACCAGCGTTCGCCTGTGTTGTGTATTAGCGGTCTCGTGGTGTCATGTTTGAGGCCACTGTGGTGAAAGCTTGCAGACGTACCACAAAGATTTTGTTGCCCACAATCAAGCTGACACAGGCGGTGCAGCCAGAGACCTCGTCTTCGAATCTGGGGTCTAAGCATATGGGTTAGTGGATGAGAAAAGGGTGGTCAGGAGTAGTCGCAGGAGCTTCAGCATACCACCAAGCATGGCTCTGTCAGCGGCGAGAAAGCCGTCCTTGAGACCTTGGACATAGTCGCCCTTCTTGAAGGATTCCTGTCTGGCAATTATGCTGTGCATATTGGCGCCGCAGTAAGTGGCCACCTTTTCGCCGCCATGACCGTCGTATACACCGAAAAATGACATTCGAGCGTTCTTGTGGACTTCGGACTCCTCGGCGGTGGGGGAGGGCATCAGATCGAGGACGGTGGTGTCAGCATCTTCCATGCTGATGCGCCATCCTTGCATGGAGGAGACGCCAAAAAGGAGGCGGTCATCTTGGCCCTTGGACGAGTTCTATGGGAGGGGAACGAGGAGAAAAAAATTAGCTCTGGCTCAGTATGGTAATTTGAGAAGATAGAGGCCATGGCTTCGCATATTGCGAGCTGGCACGCGGGTCAAGAGTGGTTTGTGGTGGCGGGCAACTGAATGCGGGGCACGTGGAGGAAGGGATTTCTGTGCTCAACAAGGCGCGTGAATGCGCAGAATTCCGGTTTGTTGAGAGGTGCAAGGAGTGTGATGGCTTCAAAATTTGGCAGAGGAAACCATCGATATACAATTCATCGGCCATTCCTGGGGCTGCAGGAGCTCCCGATCCCAGCAGGGCGAAAAGCGCGTTGCCCGTAGCAGACAGATGGCACAGCTGTGCAGCCGGGTTGACCCAGTTTCGAGCGGCGTCGGCGGGGGAGGGGGGGGACGAGAAGACGTTGAGAAAGGAAATAATGAAAAGCGTACCTTGTCAACCACCGGCTCCGAAAGGGTTTGACCCATGGCTACGGAAAGGGCTGCTGTGTCGAGGGAGCGGCGCGAGGGCAGCTACCGCGAGACGATGGGATTGTGTATGGTTGCTGCGGTTTTGTTCGTGGGGAGGAGGGTGGGATGGAAAACCGTGGTGCGCGGGGCTGTCCGTGGCTGCGGAGGGGTTCGCTGGTATTATAATGCTTCCGTAGAGCTGCGGGCAGACGAGAGGTCGAAAGGATGAGGACGCGATGCAAAGTATCTGCGTCTCGGTCGATCGATGGGAGGAGGGAGAAAATTTTTATAGTCGCGGTGTTGGGAGGAAGTGAGAACAGGGTCGGACAGAGTGTGAGTCGGAAGGTTTCGAGCGGCGAAGAGAGAGGACGATCTGGCTGGTGCTGGTGCTTTGTCGAGGGCGGGGGCTATACCGGGCAGAGGTAGTACCTAGACTAGGGAGGTACAAGGGGGGGCGGGCCAAATGGGCCAGCAAAGGTGAGACTAGTGACGCGATAACACAGGCACAGAGGTACCGAACAAGGTCGGTACCTCACAACAGTTTCGAGCTTGTTCGTACCGGTTGCCTAGGGTTGTGAGCTTGTGCCGCTTGAGACTTGACTGAAAATTGTTCAAGCATGACGCCTGTTGACATTTATAGTGATTGATGCCTAATTTAGCTTCCGTAGGACAAGAAAGAAATCTCTGGACACGTCGCGTTTTCTCCTTTTTCATCTCCCCTTTGATGGCAATGCGTGTGAATGAGCTAAAAAGTCCGCAATCTGCTTCAGGTCCCCGCAAAGCTTCCTGTGCCGCTAAAAAGGCTCGCTCTCGCCGGCACAGCCGCTTCTAACAATGCATCCATTCAGCACCGCAAAACTTCGACCCGTCTTGATAACGATAGATGCATAGTAGCACCAAGCCCTGCATAGTACCAGCTCACTAGTCCTTATCCCTATCCAACAGCACCAGCTGTTTCAACTCTCTACTATCCTCTAAACGGATTGTACCTCTGTGCATCACAAGCACCATCTGGATATACATTCATACATACATACGCTGTCTGCCGTCACCAACATCCTTTGGCCGCGACAGCCCCAACTCCATTCCCGCTGACCAATGCGACGGCCGGTCAGCTTCGGCACGACATAAACCCAACACATTAATAGTCCAATGCCGGGGCACGCGTGCAAAGGGGGCTTGATTTGCTTGCCGCTGGCTTACTACCAAATTGCTTGCCTGCCTACGGAGTACAGCCCGCAGCATCATGTGCCCAAATCAAGCTTTTTTCCTCGCCGTGCTCTTCTCCAGCCACCCAACAGGCAGGTAAGCAGGGCAAGCTGTACCACACTCACAAAGCCTTCGCAGGCACCTAACCTCCACGACACCTCGTCGCCGCCCAAGATTGTCCTTCTTCTATCCGGCTGTGATAAATTGCACAACATCGCACATGTCCCAGAAACCATATCCTTTTCCAAACCATTTTTAGCACCAAGCCCCAAGATGTGGGGGACAATCCTGATCCTGGGTCCAGGCCCCAGCTGCAGGCCAAGGCCCCCCCGGCCGACACGTCCGCTTCGCCATCTTCCGCAACAAGGGCCCCTGCTTCTCCATACAACCCCAGAGAACTGGTAGGTATATTCGTAACTCGCATTATCCTTTGAGTAATAACCGGATTCTCCTATATTATTACCACGAACTGCCCATGTTCATCGCCTGCGGCATTCTCACAGTCTCCAACATACCTAACTCTTGCCCTAGATGGTAGTAACGCACACGCGCCACACCAATCTCTTCTCCTCAAGCCACTAACGTACCCTCCTCCAAAACTAGTTCAACCATCTTTTTCTTTCAGGCGGATTTTCTTGGAGGTCGCGTGTTCAATTCTAAATCACACAGTGGCTCACACCATCCCGTTTCTGCAGCCAGGCTGTCACCCAACGGCAGCCTTGCCTCAAATCGACCGACGACTCATACCCACGCTCGGCATGCACCAACAGTACCACCCATCCTTCTAGTAAAATACTCACAACTTGGGGAAGTAAAGGTGTGACTGTGTCGTTCTTTTATTAGAACGAAGCTGTAAAATAGTCCACAAACTGCTGATGCTGTCACTTAATACGTCGTCAAACGTGCTGCGGTGCCTAGGTTTTAGAAGGCTGCGTGGTTGTCCTTGTACCTTGACATCGTTACAACTCTGGGGTTACAATCACAACCAGGCATGCATTTACACCTCTCATTTTCACCATCATGTGTTGGAATCATGGGCATGGTATTCAGTACAGCAATACTACCAACTCCAGATAATTCCGTCTTGAAGAATACAATTCTAGGAGTCGCTACTCCCAGTACCGCAATACTGTCGCCACTCCTAATTAGAGCATACAAGGACCCAACAGTCCTACAATCCAAGCTAATCCAAGCACTCCTCAACCATACTGATAACCCTCATAGTATCCAATCCGTCGTGCGGGAACGATCGTGACCCTCCGTGTCCTACGCATCATCATCGTAGCGTGGGCGATAACAGTCGGGATAGTTCGCTTCTTGAAGTCTTTTGGGATAGTTCGCTCCTCGACGTCTTTTGCGATGCGGCGCGGACTGGGATAGTCCCCACGCGTGCCGGCTTCTCTTCGCCCTGTTCCGCGCTCGGCGCCTATCCCACGTCCTCCGTTCCCGGTTGCTCTCCGGCGTGGGCTCCTCCAGACGGCCGGTCATGCTATCCAGGCGAGGGTCCTTAATGAGCGATGAGAAGTGCTCGACAAACGCGGACCGCTGCCCCTCGTCCAGCTCGCGCATCCACTCCCCATACTGGTCCGGCCGCGCCGCCTTGAGACCTTCCATGACCGACGATGTGAAGAGGTGCTCGAGCAACTCCTCAACGCTCCCGTTTCCGCCGCCGTACCGCGCGAGCAGCCGCAGGTGACACTGCTGCGCTCTCTTCAGGAACTCGTCCGCCGCGGCGGCCCCCTGGAAGCCCTTGGGCACGAGGTCGCCACGGGCCAGGTCGACGATGTCGCGGTGCGTCTCGTAGCTTTGCTGAGGGTAGCGCTCCGGCTCCGCCAGCAGGTCCGCCAGCAGCGCGAGCGTGTTGTTCAGCGTCGCCGACCTCGCCTCCCAGCCGCACCGCCACAAACGCTTCAGCACTTGCTCGGACATGTTGCTCACCAGGAGCTGCACCGCACGTCGCTGGTCCGCGACGTACTGTAGCTGCTCGGAGCCTCGCAGCGCCCGGAGGTCGGGGAAGAGTAGATATCGGAGGCCCATAGCGTCGAGGTATACGAGCACCGCCTTGTGCCAGTCCTTCCACGAGGCGTGGCCGCGAAGCTTAGCAATCGCGTTGTGGTCGTATCGATTCATCGTCGCGCAACTGAGCTTGTTGTTTGTCTGTCGAGTCTGTTTTTCATCAATGGTATATGTTGTTCGGGGAGGAAGCTGCAGGACGAGGAGCCGCGAAAGGAAGGAGGCTCGGTAAAGCAAGGCTTGCCAGCTGTCAACCAAACGCAGCAAACGCGGGCCTGAATCACCGAGGAAACGCTTATTCGAGTGTTTAAGCAGGGCTTCCAAAGAGTGCAAAACACATAATTTGTGCCTATCTACTAACCATGTTGTGCAGGCCATCCAAGCACAATCTGAAGCAATTCCAAATCCCCCCTCGCTGCCAGATGCAATCGTCACCGTCTTTTCCCGTGTTACCCATCCGTTTTTTTCCTCGCTTCTGAACCTCTTTTAAAAAATGACTCTGCCCGAAATGCGCAGCAAATGAAACAAAATTCTACGGATGTGTAGACCTCTATGACGTCCGAAATCCGAAAGCCTCACTCACGTTTCCAGCGCGTTTCCGCCCTCGGCCGCCTTACAAGCACCGCATCGAGGTCAGCGGCGAGGGGGACCTCTTCCTCTTGCCGTCCCGCCGCCAGGACTCCCTCTCAATCTCGTCCCGAAACTTGCGCTGCCACCAAAGCGGCGCCTTGTGCGGCTGCCGGTACCAGCAGCCCTCGTCGCTGTGCTCCTCCGTCAAGGGATGGTGGTAGGCGCAGTAGCTGCAGCGCCCCTGCAGGCTCTTTTGTATGGTATTCTTGGCCCTTTTGGGCGGCGGCGGTCGATGGGCGGCCGGCTTAGAGGGGAGAGCAGAATCCAGCGCCAACTCCCTCCGTAGGGGCCGGGAAGCGACGACAGCGGCAGCGGCGGCGGCGGCATCCCGCTCCTCCTGGTCGGCCTTGTCCTTGCCCATCAGCCACTCGGTCACACCAGGACGGCTGCCGGCCGAGCCCAGGGTGCCCTCGGCCATCTTCTCCATCCACTCGGCGTACCAGCTGGGCCGCGCCGTGCGGAGGCCCTGGATGACCGACGTGACAAACAGCTGCTCCAGGAGCTCCTCAGCCGGGCTCACGCAGCCCTCCTCGGCGGGGTTGCTGTCGCCGTAGTGCACCAGCAGGGCGTCGTGGTTGTGCTTGGCTGCCAGGATGTACTCGCGCACCGTCTGCGCGTCGGCGCCGAGGTCCATCCGCGACAGGTCGACCAGGCGGCGGCGCAGCACCTTGGCGCGCTCGTCCTTGTTGCGCTGCGCCTGCTGCTCCTCGCTGAAAATGGCGTCGAGCGTGTTGAGCGTATCCGTCACGGTCGCGTGCTCGGGCTTCCACCCGCGGCGGTACGCCCGCTCCAGCACGTCCTCGGACATGGCGTCCACCAGCAGGCCGACGCCGGAGGCCCGGTCCGCGTCGTATTGGTCAAAGTCGTCCGGCATCTCGGGCGGCCCGTCGTCGTCCAGGAGGTAGCGCAAGCCCCGCGTCTGCAGCGCCATCCGGGCCTTCATGTGCCACACGTGCCAGTTGCTGAGGCCGATGAGCTTTCCGAGCCCCTTGTCGTGGCATTGTTCTCCTGGTGGTGTGGGAGGATGCATCGTTGCGCGTGAAAATGAAGTGATCGAAGTGATAGAAGAGGTTGAAGAGATTGGGGGAAAAGTAGAGAAGTAACCGCTGGCGAAATGGTCTCGGATCAGTTCCGGACAAGGTCAAATCACTTCCAACTGACATTGCCCGAGGGCAGGGGTCGTCAAGGGGTTTGACAAGGGTCGGGACGCCTGGGCAAATGCAAATTTCGGCCTATCAAGCCACCAGCGTTGCTTCACTCAACGGAGAGAATGAATCCCTCGGCAATGTCCTGATCTTTAATTATGCATAACTTATTCCACAAAAATGTGAAAAATACAAAACGAGTCCATTACCATGCTTTACGAGTATCAAATTACTGCCTGACAGTATTCTGTGCTTTTTTTCTCCATATATGTTGAACTGGAAGGCCCAATGGTCAATGCCTTGATACGGAAATTCACAAAGTAGCAGGTGGAGAGCCCGATTGATAACTTGTTTGCCTGAAACCACGGCCACATAAACGTGTCTACCTTGCACCCTTGTCAGGATTGGTTGAAAAGGGTGAAAGTGTGGGTGTCGTGAAAAGAAGTGAACGTAAATGAAAACAATGGAAACGTGAACAACGAAACTTACCAGTAGTTAGTAGATTAGATGGTATATAGCGGTCTTGATTAGGTGCTATCTTCGTTCACAGCTTGTCAATTTCTGTATAATAAGCTTGTGTTCTATAATCCAAGTAATATATAAAACAAAGGAACCAATTCGCCCAGTATTCATACATTCGCCCTTCCAACCACTACGCAGACCTTCTCAGTCCGCCAAAACTAGAAAGAAATTGAGAATGTTCTGGTATCAATCGCCGCAAACAAAAAGAAAAAAAATTTGAAAACACACACCACGCAACACCTTTTTGCTGCATTTCCTTTTTCTGCCCGCCCGTCCAGTCAAGGCCGCAAACTTACTATATAAACACTTTGAAACTACTGCCTGTCGACAGCTTGCCCGAGTTGGATTTTAGCCACGCCAAGCCGCTCGCGCCGCTCGCAGCCGTCGATAGGACACTCGCACTCTCGTGAATCGTCGTCTTCTTCTCCGCGCCGACCTCGCCCCATTTGCTCGCCTGCTGCGCGGCCGTGTGGCTGGAGGGCTCGCCGGACATCGCGTCGTGTCGGTGACTCCCCGAGGCTGGGCTGAACGGTGTGCCCTCCACGTTGTCCTTGAACAAGGTCGTCGTTGTGGGATCTAGCTTGCTGATGACGCGCCAGTTCTCCGCGGACCCGAACGACGGAGTGGACCTGAGACCGCGGCTACCGCCGTCGGAGTTGAGGTCGACCCATCCGAAGCCATCTACGGAAGGCCCGGCGGTCAGGTAGGCTTGCTCGGGCGGGCGCAGATCCATTTTGCTGGCGTCAGAGACAGTGACGGTTTCCCAGTTGGGGTTAGATGCCTCGCTTTCTGCTATCGTAGACGCAAACGGCCGTGGGTTGCGGCCACGCTCGTTGATTGGGAGAGCAACGGAGCTGGTCGTCTTGGTTGAGTATGTATCGGCGCTCTTCTGGTCTCGGCGTCCGTATACTGGTGTGTAAGCGACAGTTGAAGCCTTCTTGGTCGACGGCTTCCTCGTTCCCGCGATGCCATGCGTGTCTTTCTTGTATCCTGCGGAGCCTGTGGCACGCATGTAGCTTCCCGTGGGGAATACTTGATGTGTAGAGTCAGGAATGCTCGGGTTTGGAGACGGAGGGCCGCCATTGTGCATTGACTTGGCGCCGCTCATGTATGGAACATCTCCTTCCACAGTTTCCCAGGAGCGCCTCCCATCATTGCTTCCGGAGGGGCTAATGCTCCGAAGGGCGCTAGACTGTCCCGCGCCGGTTCGTGGCCGCGCTGATATTGCCTCGTAATCTTCCTCAATTCCGCCGAGCGTTTCTGACGACCGTCTCGCTGTCGAGGTGCGAGGGACCGCTTCCACGTACGCAGCCGAGGTTGGCTTCAGCATATGCTTCTCATTGTTTAGCACGACAGTCATCTTCTCAACGCGGCGCTTTGACGAGTCCGAACCATGGCGCAGGTTGCTGATGGGATTGATGGCGTTTGACTGCGCCTTGCTCGATAGGTAACTGCGGCTAGCACGGCGCCGTCGCAGGAAGCAAACAAAGAGCATAAGCATAAGAGCAATGAACAAAATTGGAATGATCGTAGCAAGCAAAATATCTCCGGTGCTGAGTCGACCTCCCATTCCAGGTATAGGCGATTCACTAGGCTGATTCGTGGACGTGGACGTGGACGTTGAGCTGGGGCTGCTTGTTGTTACTGAGGTACTCGTCGGGGTACCGTCCGGTGCCAGGAAGCTGACATGAAGTTTTTCGCTCTCCGACAAGGTGGAAGACTTGGAGCTGGCATCGACAGTGACGTCAAAGCTGCCCTTTGCATCTTTCGGAACGTTGCCGAAAAGCTTGAATCCGTCAACTTTGAGCCATTGCTCAGTTGGGTTGGTAGTGACGTTCAAATCGATGTCAGACGGGTCTTTGAAATACTGACCGAGGTCGACATCAAATTTTCCGCCTGGTCGGGCCTCCATGTCCTCAAACGTAGACTGAAAGAGGCCAGTAGCAACATTAACAACAACAAGGACATCCAAGGTGGCGGAAAGCACGCTGCTGTAAGTTATGGTAAAGTTACTAGCATGATCGCCATCGCGAGGAGTGCCGCTCAGCTTGCCAGTATCCTTGTCGTAATTGAGCCACTGAGGCATACCTTCGGTTGTGACATCGAGATCGCTCAATTTCGCGGGCTTTCCATCCAGATCAATGGCATTTTCCAGGCCATCATAATCGACTGCATTACCTCTCGTCGCATTGATCGTAACAATAGGGTTCTTGGTGGTAATCTTGTGGCTTCCGACGACAATGTTAAAGGCGAGTGAGGTGGCGGCAAAGCCAACAATGTCGGAAGCGACCAGGATGAAGCCAAAGGTCTGAGGCGGTTGGACGAGGGACTCGAAGGGCGGGGTTGTGCCGGAGAAGGTCATTGAGGCAGCATCAAATTGAATCCACGCTGGGAGTGGGCTGTTGTCGGATGAGACGGCGTAGTAGTTGAGTCCACTGTTCTTGCCGAACGTGTCCGGGTTGAAAGCATACCGAAACGACGCGGACGGGTACGACAGGACAGAGGAGGGTGCGGAAAAGTTGCCAAAGGTCTTTATTTGGTCTTGCAAAGGAATCTGGATGGCAGGCGCAGGCTTTCTCGAAATTACCAGCGTCGAGTCCATAGTAGTTGAGCCAGTGGCGTCGGTGGCCACAATGTCGACCTCTTGGCCAACCACATCGCCATCGGGGATATCAGCCGCCTTGGGAGTTCCATAAAGTCTGCGGGTCGCACTCTCGATTGACAACCAGGAAGGATGGTTTTTTCCGAATGAGTATGTAATGTTGGAGGATGATATGAAAGTTTGTGGCGAGAAAGAGTAGGTGAAGAAAGTGTCTAATCGGGCTGCGAGAGGCAGCTGTGCGTTGAGGGGAAAGGCGAGGTTCGGTTTGCCATAGGCAAGGCCGGCCAGTTGCAGAGCCACGAGTAGCATCGTGAGCGCAGCCATGGTGACTCTGCAGCGCCCGGTTGACGATGTCTTGCTTGACGGCGATACCTCGATGAAGCTGCTCGCCGCAATGGGTTTGGAAAGAGACACTGTAAGGGTGGCGTTTGTTGGATGTCGAGAGGAGGAAGGGAAGAAGGGAAGAAAGAATCAAATTGCCCAAGAGTGCAGACAGCGAGGGGGTGTATCAATGTCTTTGGAGCTGTCTGCGCCTGATGGCTGGCGACATTCTGCCGATACGGCCCCCTTCATTCCTTCATTCCTACACAATCGCCCCACGGTACATTGTGCGCAAAAGACGGCGGCCGAGCGGCCCCAGTGGCAGCAGAGAGCAGACGTTTCTCCATTTCGAAAAGAGGCAGAATGTCTCGGAGCGCGTAAAGCACCTCGGCGGGGAGGGGGATGACGCGCGAGGAACGAGGGCTGGGCAGAGGTGATGGGTGTAGAGAACCAGTACTAGTTGGTAGGTGGGAAGAGAGGCACATTCCAGAGCGCGGGTGGTGACACGCCTGGCCAAGTCTTTTTTTGTCCCAGGGCGAGACGTGGGGCCGCACTATTGAACAGGGCGGGATCGATAGCCAGATTTTTTAGAAATGCAAATGACGATGGTCGAAAATTTTTGGGGATTTAATTTTCTTTCATTGAACTGAATTTAGAGGGCCTGTTCGAGCTTCTGCGGCAAAGCAAGGGCGGCCGGCGTTGAGGAGCTGGACGTTGGATGTGGCTGCGATGAGGCCATCATCCATCGTTTTACCAGGGCGATTCGTGTCTGCACGCTACAGATCTAATTCAGGTGAGTTGGAAAAACGGATAATAGAGGCAGGAAATAATACAGATCAAATCTGAGAGCCAAAAATATCTGACAAAAGTACGCCGTTAGCTTGCGTTTATCCTATTCTAAGGCCTCAACATGCCTGACGCAGGCACTGCAGCCACATCTACAGCCACACACAGCCACATGCTGGCAGTACTTGGAATCGGGCCTACGATTTGGTGGCTGGGAGATGCATGACTTGCTAAGATCTCAGTGGTTTATCAGACGAGAACGTTTCAAAGCTTTATGATAGAATTAATTTGCTTCAAGACAGGATGAAAGAGTTTGAAGGGGTAGAAGAAGAGGAAAGAATAGAACATTCATTCGCCAACTGATTTACAGGCGGAAGAGTCACCTTCACTTACTCCGAAAGTGATGCAAAGCCCGATGGCTTATAATTATTCCAAGGCTGTATGCACAAGAGAAAAAATCAATAGGTATACCATACGACTCTCTTTTTTAGAAATCGACAAAGGAACTTCACTGTGAAGCCGGCCAAACTTGGAGTCCCGTTCCAGCACGGCTTATTAGAGGTAGGCACCTATGCTAGCTATGTAGTACTAAGCTCTTGAGTAGCAGCCGTTAAACCAACGGGTTAACGGCACACCAAGAGGCTTTCCAAATCATCAGACGACCATCTCAGCACAATATCAAGACATTTTACGGCATTGAGTGGGATGCAGACATATATGTAACGCCTTCATTATAGGTAGTTTATTACATGCAGATAAGCAGCCTTATCGGAGCTGCAGGCGGGTCTCGGGCTGCCTCGTGGGTTTATTAGTTCCAGGGTCCAGAACGCCGATCCGAGCGGGAGGGTCGGTCGAAATAATCATATAGACCGTATTGCACAAAGACGGCATTTGGAAAGGCCACCGCCTTGTCGAGGCCCTCACGCCTCGCTTTGGAGGCGAAAAAAATCAAAATCACCCTCAATCCGACTGTACCAAAAAAGCAGTCGCCTGCTTCCAATCCGCTTCAGTCCAACAACCCCGTCGCTACTTCGTCCCCCGATCAATCAATCCCGTCCCCCCGCTGCCCGTTTGCCATGGGAGACCTCGCCGACTCGCCCCCCCTCGGCGCCATCCACATCAGCGAGGACCTCACGCCGCTGCCGGAGCTGAAGCCCGCCGGCGACACCCACGTCACCTTTGACGGGCAGCTGGCCCGGCCGCTGCGGCTGCGCGAGGACCTGCGCACCGGCTGCGGCGGGCAGACGTGGCCAGCCGGCATGGTGCTCGGCAAGCACATGCTCCGCTACCACCGCCACGAGCTGCAGGACGCGAGAATGTGAGTTTTTTTGCTTTTCGTCTGGCAGAGGACAACACAAGGAAAGGGGGGGGGCAAGAGAATGATGCCTCCCCCGGCGCACGTCGGGAACCAACTGAAGTTTATGCTAACGCCGACACAACCCCGTTGCAGACTGGAACTCGGAGCCGGCGGCGGCCTCGTCGGCCTCGCTGTTGCGCTGGGCTGCGGCGTGGGGAGCCGTCTCATGCTGACGGACCAGCTGGAGATGCTGGACCTCATGAAGCACAACATTGCCCTCAACGAGGTCCAAGACAAGGCCACCGCCTCGATATTAAACTGGCAAGTACACCAAGCCCCTCCCCTCACCCAATTTTGGGATCAAAAGGAGACGTACCTTTCTCTTCTTTGTTGGCCGAACTCTAACCCGTTTCTTCAGGGGAGAGCCGCTGCCCCAAGCGGTCGTCGACTACCGGCCCAACGTCATCCTTGCCGCCGAGTGCGTCTACTTTGAGCCCGCCTTCCCACTGCTCATGCACACGCTGCGGAACCTCGTCGCACTCAACCCCACCGCCATCATCTACTTTTGCTTCAAGAAGCGCCGCCGCGCCGACCTGCAGTTCGTCAAGATGGCTCGCAAGGCCTTTGTCGTCACCGAGGTCCCGGACGAGGATCGTCCCGTCTTCGCCAGGGAGTCGCTCTTCCTCTTCACCTTTACGGCCAAGCCGCAGCCGCAGCAGCAGAAGAAGAAGCCGGTGGACGAAGCGGCGGCGCCCGTCTTGTAAAAAAACTAACCGCCAAACAGACGGATGCCAGCTCGGCCATCTAGCCTGCGCACACGTTGCGATGAACGCCGATAAGAACACACAGTAGTGTCTTTTTGCGTCGACCCGTCCGGTTTTCTAGGAAATCATCGGATTTCGCTTTTCCTCGTTCCGCGCCGCCAGCCCTTCTCCGTTGGCCTGATGTCGGCGCATGGTTGGTTGCGGTTGCTCTGGAATGCGCGCCGTTCAACCCGCGCGGAATGCCAGCATCAGGCTGCAAGCTGCCTGAGCGCTTCCCCCCCCCCCCCAATCCGATGGATCGAATCTGACATGGTTCAAATCGAAGCAAACCACACGGGGCACGCTATCAGTAAAGCATGGAGTCCAGGCGGAAGCTGTCCGGATGGGCGTTCCATTGCTGACATGCAGCCACGTGCTACGCTGGCCGCCCTACCTTTTTCTTCTTACCCTCCGCTACCCTTGTCAGCCTCCTTCTTCCCTCGACTCGCACAAATTTTGTTTCTCGGCATTATCCGCGGAAAGTACATGAGACGGCGCATAAATTTGCCATTATATATAATACACCGGGCGACTTCATATAGCCCACTCACGACGCGAATAGATGACATGATATACGAAAATAGATATAGACTCAACACAAGACAAAAATATCAATAGAATCAACGCGAGAAAACAGCAACAGCTTTTTGTCTTCTTTTAGCTGAATACGTTGTAAGTGGAAGCCCAACAACCTTGCCCGCCCGGGATCCCACTCTCTCTCCAAACCCAGGTTCAAGCTTATTCTGGCGCCTTGCCGGGCCAGCCAAGGCCGGATTAAAATCTGACAAACCCGCCCCGGCTCCTTTCCAGCTGGCCAAGCCAAGCCTCGAAGTTCCAGCCCCAGCGTCAGATGAGGATTTGGGGCTAACTAGAGCAGCAAGAGAAAGAGGGCTCGGGAAAATCATGCTCGATTAGGAAACTGAAGCAGCGCATGGGGCAGCTCTCATTAGGCGTCGCCCAGGTTCTTATCAATTTAATCCATGAGAATAGGCAGGGGGGCTTTATTAAAAGGAGCTTGCTTGGTAGCTGAAGGTGTGTATATGTATACCGTCTAGCCCTGTGAGCTCCTGGTCGGTGCTTGGTTGGTGTTCATGTATTGTTGAAATAGGATATTCGGTCTCCTTGTCAACTTACACATTTTCTTTCCTTGGACGTTAAATACACAACAACACACATTCCTTCTTCACTCCTTTCCTTTTCCCTCTCCTGACGAAACTCGCCAGACGATGCCGGCCAACGGCGCGGCGCCCTCGCCCGTCTTCACACTCTTCACCCGCCTCCCCTGCGAACTCCGCCTCGCCATCTGGGAGCACGCCCTGCCCTCCTCCCGCGACTTCGACCTCTGCGCCGTCTACTTCTTCCGCGACTGGAAGTGGAACCCCCACGAACCCTCCTCCTCGCGCCCCGTCCTCGAGACCGACGACGAACTCGGCGAGGACGTCGTCAACCCGCACGTTCCCCTGCCGCACCTGCCACACGTCTCCGTCTGCCACGAGGCGCGCTCCGTCGCCCTGCGCTGGGCCGCCGCGCGCCAACCCCACAACCGCCTCGCCGCCGGCCTCCAGGTCCACGAACGCGCGTGGGACGAGGACGTCGACGCCGGCGGGCGCCTCGCCGTACGCGCGTGGCAGCCGCGCCGCGACGCCGTGTACGTCGGCCGCGAGCGCTGGGACGACTTTTGCCGGCGGCCCTGCACCTTTCCGTTTGACGGGCAGGCGGCCGTCTACTACGGGACCGTCGACGGCGGGTACGCCGCCGCCTCCCACCACCACCACCATCACAGCCTGTTCGGGCGCCCCGCGCCGCGCGGGGTCGAGATCCGCACGCTCGCGATACCGGCGGGTGCGGACATCCCCGGGCGCGCGCTGGCCGGCCTGCTGCACTGCCTGCCGAACCTGGAGCGGCTGAGGCTCGTGTACGGGCCGCTGCCGCAGCCGCACGAGCGCGAGGACGAGCCGCTCGTGCCCCGTCGGTGGACGCTCCGGAGCGCGGACGGCGTGCCCGACGGCGTGCGGGTGCACCACTACACGGACGCACCGATGGGAGGCGGCCGGTACGCGCCGCGTGAGGAGGATGGGGAGCCGCTGCGCGGGGAGGCCCTGCGGAGGCACGTCGACGAGGTGGAGAGGATGCTGCTCAGGGAGGTGAAGCGCTGCGAGGTCGAGAGCGAGGCCCGCGACGCCGTCGAGAGCCACGACCGCTTGCCGTTCACCCTCGAGGCCGCGGTGTTTGAGCGAGGCTACTGATCCTCCTTCTCCTCCCTTTCTTTACGATTACACTCTCTTCTTCTTCTTCTTTTGTTTCTTGTTCTTTTTACTTGCGGCAGATACCATGTCCGCTATACATAAAAAGTCTCGGGGCCAGAGGCAAGCCGTACATATTGGCCGGCAGTTGTTGTCATCATTCAGGCTCCCCAGGTTGAGCAGAACCCAACCAACGTACATACACCACCCAACATTCATTGCATAATAGCGAAATTCGTTCGTCATCCTTGCATTTTTCAAAAAAGAAATGTTACCTGTCAGTTCCGCGGGAAATAAATAAGTGAGATTGAGTGCATAATTCCGTTCTCGTGCATACTAATTCGGCCTCATGCATTGCCTGCCGCGAGCGAGGATGCAGTGCTTCAGCGACTGGGCACAACTCCAGCATCAGACGACTCCTTTCTTTTCCACCCAATTGCCGAGAGACGTGGCCCTGCGGCAGGGTCGTCCATCTCGTCCTTCTGCTGCATGCCACCGTGTAGATGAACGGAACAAGAAGAATAACGGGGGCACGGCACATGTAGCGCGTGATCAACGCCAAAAACATATCCCGTCATTTTCTGTGCTGGACTTGTTTACTTGACTGTGAATGTGAGTTGGCATCGAATGCGGTGACACAAACAATGTACAAAGCAATCAATGTCTGACCAGAATAGACCACGGTCCGTTATGTCAAGCTCCCAACTAAGGTGCCAGACTCAGTTTCGAGTCCGTAACCCCGGCTATTGACGTAGTTGGTCCAACTAGTTAGAAACTCACCGGCTGTCGGGGTTCGTCATGGCGAGACGCGAGCCGTCCCCCAGAACGGGATAAGCAAACGCCGCGCCGGCGCCAAGGAAGAGCTGGATCAGCAGTCATGGTTACAGTTCAGCTATGCGGATGATAATTTCTACACATTCGAGTAAATGAATGAATTGTCGCGGATGGGTGGTGCGCGTGAAAGCCCAACACCGTCCCCTTCCTATTACGACCTGTTGACGCCGAGCCTTGCACCATAAGCAAACTAGTAGGCCTATAAGCCACGCCTAAAGTCGCCAAGAGCAGATGAAAAACGTGTGCGACGATGGCGGCCGGCAGTGGTAGGACGGTTTCTAGACAAGAAAACAATGTTGTACGTTGGTTTCAGTTTTGTGTACGTGCTCGGTGTTGCGACGGTTGCTGGTCAGTTGAATCAAAAAGGCGGCATGCATGGCGGAGGGATCGCTCGGTGGCGAATTCAACGGCTACAGGGGTTGGTAGCGTGGTCATGGGATTTAGGCAAGTCGGTGTAGATGGCCAACCATGAGATGTTATTGCCGAGATGGTTTACCAGAGGCCGCGGCGCTTATGCAGCTGCGATGCTCTTAGATAAGGCTTGGTGCTGGGTTGTAGATTAAAAGCTGCGACGGCAGGGTCTGGCCGTTAGATTGCTGCGCATGCGGCTTGTCGCAATGGACAGGCGGCCTGGATTCCCCAGACTCTAGCACCGGGATTTCACCAAGAAAGCTGCAGGCGATAGATGTAGGCGATAGATCATAGACTTCAGTAGGCGGGCGTGGTCGGGCACAGGCGGGCGCAACGCAAGATGGGTGCAAAGGTTATGAGCTGAAGAACGGCTGCATCTGCGCCGCATGTCTTGGTGCACAGTACTGCAGTGGGTGAGAAGATAGTTTCATGCGCGGGCATGCGAAAGAGCAACAACAGCGGGACGGCGAGTGCAGACGCTCCCCAGGTTCGTCCGGACCGAGGCAGCGAGCACAATCGATTGACGGATATATGGACGGTGAGTTTTTTGCGGGGAAGAGTCCAGACCGAAGAATCTGCCTTGAATCGTCGTCCAGCCACACCCACGCATTGTACAACGGATTACCTTTTTTGAGGTGTGGACGGCGGCGTAGCTGATTGGACGGCTGCGAGGAGGGAGGAGCGAAAGAAGGCTTTTAATGGATTGCTCGTTGTTTCCAGAAACTGATTCAAGAAGGCTGATTCAGTATGTTTCTTTGACTGATTCAGCACAGTCCGCTTTTTGCAAAAACTTTGTTTTTTCTACAAACATGTGTATGCCTCGGACGTCGACAAAGAGACAGGTCAGTGATCGGTAAAGTAAAAAAAGGAAACAAGAGTCATGGACTCATGGTGGGATGGTTGATGGGCCGCTGAAACAAATGCCGCCTGGAGTCGTGTGTATGTAACTACTGCACGAAGGAGCCGTACGATACTGTCAACTGATAACGTTAGTCTGGTCTGATACGTATGTATACATATGCGCCGAGAGCGTTGTGAGACACGAATGACAGCATCGAACAATCTGCATGTCTCTGCCAGCAAAGCGGCGGTACCACAGCAGGCGCCCGGGAATGAGACTGGGCAATGTGTCGACCGGGTATCAAGTGTTTGGCTTGGCGAACGGTGAAGAGACGGTAGACGGTAGCGAGCGGGCGCAGCGGAGGCAGAGTGGTTGCAGGCAATACCGCGATACGAGAAATGGGGGAAGGGGGAGGAGGCCGCCATCTCGCCATCTCATCTCTCCCAACAACAAGGGAGAAGAAGCAGGTTTCCTGGTGAAAAAATAGCGAAGCCAAGAGAAACGCCGGAAAAAGAATAGCGCGAGGAACACAGCCAATCAGGAGCCATGAGTACCTGGCCACGCCAACGGTGGATCTGTCAGTGTTTTAGGCGGTATTCGGTGGCAGAATCCATCGCACTGCCTGCAGATAGACGTGGCAAGGATTTTGTGGAAGTTTCAGGCCCCCGGCAGACTTATTTGGGTAACTATTGACCGGCTGCTGGCGTCGACAAAGTCTGCAGCAGAGGGTGCAGGGCTTGATTGAGTGCGCGGTTTTTGATACATACAGTAAGACGGAGTCATCAGCAAGCTGCAGGTACCCTATAGGCTATTGGTGGTGTACGGCGCAGCGGTCGGACCTCACTTTCGCCAATCAGGGTGATGCTTTACGTGGTGTATGTGGCTCCACTGGATGCGACTCCCGCGACTGGGATTTGTTACTGGTTATCCGTGGTTTTATAAAGGGTGCGCGAGTGCGGCGCGTGCATGTGCTTGCCTCTGCCAGTACCAGAACAACATGTCAGCTGCAAGGTCAGGCAATATGGTACCTGCATTGCGTCGTTATGTATTGATTGGAAGCAGGTAAATGCGTTGTTGAAACTTGAGAGTGGTTCGATGTCATGCCCAGCGATTCGCGGGGAAGATTCAGCGTCGTTGGGTTCGTCAACTAAATTAATTGTCCGGTCCTGTCGGCTAATTAATTTCTGGAACCCAATAGCAAGCAACTCGTTTTGTCTCCTCCTTCCTATTCAACTTCCCGATAGTTAGGCAAGTGTCGCTCTTTTTCCTGAATAAAAAATTGAATTTTTTTTTTTTTTTTTTGCCTTGATATCTCAGCAGCCAAAAACCACGCACGCCATGTTGAGGGAAAGATTCTAGACCGCCAACAGTCTCCAGCAAGGCTGTCCACAGCGGACACCTTTTTAGCTTTTCAGCGGGCTTGTGGTGGTGTTAGTGCCCTGTCAACCAGTCTGTGAAAATTCAAAATAAAAGAAAAATGGGAAAAGAAAAATCCAGATGGCCCACTAAAACGATGCGCCACTGGACGAAGAGATCAGCCCGAATCCTTTCCAGTTCTATTCACGGCTTGCCAAGTCGCTCCCCGGCCAGTGGCAGTGCGGACGATACTTGGTAACGCACCACCGCCAACACCACCAACCATTTTGGGCCGCCAGTCGATGTACTCCGGTCCCTGTCAATGGTCCCCTGCTGGGTCTGTCCCCCCCCCTTCTTCTCGTTTTCTCCCCTGGAAATCCTCTCGCTAGTCAGGTACCTCAGGTACCTCCGAGCCATCCCAGCCCCTGCCGTGTGGTACCTGGACAGGGGCACGGAAACCCAAGCCCAGGCACCCTGCAGCAGGCAAACTGCCTCCTCGCGACTCACAAGGTTGCCATGAGGTTGTTACTTGCTGTACCTGTTGGGTACGTACCCAGGTACCCAGCCTGTTTCCCCCCTCCCCCCCCTTCCAGGTACCATTAGTCGTACCCTCCACATTCCCAACTTCCCTCTCCACCCTCCTGCCTCACCTTGCATCGCACAAATACGTTCCCTCTTCTTCTTCTGACTTACTTCTACCCTCCCTTCTTGTTCTCTTTCCTTCACAACCTTACCGACTTTCCTTGACTCTTGCCGTGCTTCCCTCCTTTAAGCCCGCCAAGATACACAATATCTGCATTACGCAACCGTCCCCTCACGCCTAGACAGGTCGTTATATAAATCCACCTCCGTCTTCATTCACGACGACACCACGCTTTACGCGACCCAACCCAACCCAACCTCACACTCCTTGCATTGGCTGTGCCAACAACAATCGCAACAACCTACAACTCACTCTGCTTCTCTCCGCTGCTTCGCTGTGCCTAGCGCCCTTCCAACCACAACTATAACCAACTCGCTTTGAAAGCCAGTTACCACCTACCTACCGATTCACCATGAAGTCCTTTGCTCTTGCCACCGCCGCTCTTTTCGCCGTCGTCGCGGCCAAGCCAGTTCAGCGCCGTGATGGCATCACCGTCACCACGACCGAATGGGTCACTGAGTATGAGACTGTCACCGAGATCGTGGATGTGAGCACCACCCTCTATATCACTCCTGGCCAGTCCGTCCCTACCGATCTCACCTCCATCATCCCTGGGCCTACTGATGGTCAATTCTTCGAGACGCCTTCCGCGCCGTCGCCCGCGCCCGCACCCGAGCAGACCTCTGTCGCCGCCCCTCCCCCTTCGTCTGCTCCTCCTCCTCCTGCCGCGCCTACCACTACCGCCGCGCCTGCTCCTCCTCCTCCTCCTCCTGCTTCTTCTTCCTCTGCCCCCCCTCCCCCTCCTGCTGAACCTACCACCACTGCCGCCCCGGCTCCTGCCCCGGCTCCTTCCTCGCCTTCTCCGGCCGCCCCCACCGCTTCCGCTCCGGAGTCTTCACCCGCGGAGGCTAAGCCCAGCGGTGATGTCAAGTCCGGCCAAATCACCTGGTACAATGTTGGCATGGGTTCTTGTGGTGTCGATGATTCCGGTAAGGACAACACAGAAAACATCGTCGCCCTCTCCCACGAGCTCATGGGCACCCAATCCAACAACAACCCCATGTGTGGCAAGACAATCACCGTCTACGGCGACAATGGCAAAACCGCCCAGGCCGTAGTCCACGACAAGTGCATGGGCTGCGCCGCCAACAACATTGATGTCAGCGAAAAGCTCTTCAAGGACATTTACGGTGACCTCGGCATTGGCCGTCAGTCGATTAAATGGGCCTTCAACAACTAAACACTTGGTTGTGACATTTGCCCTTGAATGTGCGCAGCGAGGCTGGAGCCTTGCACACACGAGCCGCCCTCTCAACCTTGTCAGGACGAGACCTGCAGAGGCGCTCACAGCTGTACCTGGAAATGGCGAGACCTTTCGTTCGTTTACTTCTCTGTATATACATTTTCTCGTCATTCGCTCTTTCTCAGCTTGGTCTTGGAGATTGACAGGACGGACGTTATGAGACACGCAAACACACTCGTTTACATGCAGATAGATCGCACACACTGGGATATAGATATGGGAACCATTTACAACTATGTCACTGGATATAGCTAGATGAATGAATTCAACCTTTTTTGCGAAGAAAAACATTAGCCAATCATTACAAATGGAAATTGTCGATTTAGGCCCAAACTAGAGTAATGAACCCTCGCCGTTGAGGGACTTCCAACGGCGCGCCACTGCGTGATATGGTCTCGACCCTTTGACGTGCAGACGCAAGTACCACTACATAGTGCATAGTTACATGGTGACTGGTGTTGACCGCGTAAACCTAGATATGGGCAAGGTCATGTTCTTCGTCGCGAAAAAAAGCACCATTGGTCTTGTTCTAGGTTTTCCAGCAGAGTGGCAAGCCACAGCGGCTTGCCTTTTTCTGTAGCCGCTGGCTACCTCCATCCGGTCTGATGTGCGCGGTTTTTTTTTTTTTTTTACACCTGCGAACCTGCGACTCCGTCCGTGGTCAGGTCGGACCAGGCCGAGGGCCGCCTACCCGGTATGAAACAACGACCAGACGACGTAAACACGTCCTGCAGCAAAGGCGCCGCTGCAGGGTTCACTTTAATGGCGCAAGGGAAGGGGATTTGTGTAATTTTGGTATTTCACGCACGGGGTAAAATAACCCGTCACAATTCCGTTTCATGCTGAATGCACTGTTAACGGAACGTAGGTCGTGCCGGTCAACAATACACGTGCGGTGTGAATGAGCATGCGGGTAGTACGCCAGCAACACGCTGCAATTTGAAACGGCGTCTGTTCACCACAAAGGCAGCGATATTGCGAAAAAGACAGAAAGAAAGACACAACAAAGGGAGCAGGAGGAGATTGATTGATTGATTTTATTGACGTCACGATGTTGCACACGACAGGAAGCAAAAAGAGCAAAAAAATTAGTCCTTGATGAGAATGGGATTCGAACCCATGAGGATTGCTCCACCAGGAAACATGTTAAGGTAACCTTAACCTGGCGCCATAACCAACTCGGCCATCTCACCGATGTTGAATGTCAGGTGAGCTATTTGATTATATGAGGTCATTGATTATGCCTTCGTCAATCAGATATTCTAATGGCATCTATTTATTGCACAAGCGCAAAACGAAATATGGTAGACTGCGGAAGTCGTAGCGACTCTCGCAGCGCGCTGCAACTGGAATTTTTTTTTTTAGAAGCCAACAAAATCGCACCTTCTTTTTTTTCCGAATGTCCCGGCAGGTCAAGAACCCTATTTATCTACGCATGTAGTCGGGATATGCCAGCCACTGGTACGAATGTAGCCATGCCAAGACATACGCAACTCACCAGTTAACATCGTCAGTCCTGGCTGCAACGCTCTGCACGCATGGTATGCACGACGTTTCCAAAATTCGCCAGCATTTGGCATGTTTCCATCTAGAAACCCGCTCAAAATCCACAGCATCATTTTCTAGCGGCTGATATTCCATCGGCTTGATGAGGTGCATTTTTGTTGGAATGGGCTTGACCTGGAACAAGTGTATGCGACTTGGGTCTCTAGTAAATCAGAGCCTTTGGGAAATGTCACTGGTTGTTTTAGACCATTATACTGGTAATGTCCCTACCGTCTCCGTACGGGGACACTCATCGATCGGATCATAGCTTCTTGAATCCAACGTTTTCCAGGTAGAATTTCGTTGGGGCCTTTGTGCAAGTCGCCCACGTTCCCAACAGGCGATCATGGTGTTTGGAGCTGCGATGGCAACTAAACTCCTATCAAGCGTCTATAGTAGAAAATAGAGAACCCGTAATCACAGTTGGTGAGATGGCCGAGTTGGTTATGGCGCCAGGTTAAGGTTACCTTAACACGTTTCCTGGTGGAGCAATCCTCATGGGTTCGAATCCCATTCTCATCATACATCTTATCTTTTTGCCTATATCCGCAACAGCGGCTATATTTTTTTTCGCCTATTCTTCGTCTTGTTTCATGCGAATTATTCAGTAATGGCAAGCGTCAAGAGTTTCCGCTGCTCTAAATCTCCTCCCTCTTACAATGTCTCATCAGCGTAGAAACGGTTCGTTCACGCATCTGGAATCTGTCTTGCATGAAAGTCGCCGCTAGCTGATCGAGCAGTTCTATTAAATCTTGTCAACATATGCCGATCGCTTCATATCGCCATGACGCATTGTGCAGCAAAAATATTAGACCCCACGCCTATATGTGTCAAGAGCTGAGACTCCTCAATGCCGCTGAAAGCTATCTATGGTCAAAAGTCAGAGACCTCTCGAAGGAGTCTCTCTCACAAAAAAAAAAAAAACGACACCCATAACGTGGTCAACATAAGTCTATAGCATACTAAGCAGGTCCTCCACGTATCGCCGAGTGTCGACCCCGATCCCCTGCGCAAGCCGTCCGACAGACTCGACGCCGCCAGCTCCCCCTCCTAGCCCCAAGCTGCCGCTCCCTGACGAGACGTGGTCGCTTGCGCGGCGTATCAGGAAAATTTCCTTGCTCGTCGTCGTCAGGCCCAGAACAACCGAGCCCACTCCCGCATCCGAGCCGGGCCGGGGCGAGGGCGGCGCCGACGTGCCCGGCGAGTTCCCCGGCAGATACTGAGTCGTCGCGCGGGACCCTGCCTCGCGCTGCACGAGTCGTGTCCAGACCACCCACCACCCGCGGCTCGTCTTCTGCGTGCGCTCCAAGTCCGTCACGCGCGGCGACCGCGTCCCGCTGTACACACCGAGGATGTGCAGATGCGTGTTGACGGCGTCGGCGCGGGACCACCGCAGCGACGACGCGTGGTCGTCGGCCGGGTACAGGTGGTCGGGGATGTTGGGCACCGTCGTGTGCACGGTCAGGTCGACGGGGTTCCAGATCAAGTCGTAGATGCCCGAGGCACCGCCGCTGCGGCCCGTGTCTGGCCGCTCGGGACGGTATTGGGTAGAGGTGAGGAGGGGCCGGCGAAGTGGCGAGAGCTGGTAATGCAAGGATCGATACAGAGAGTCCCATGCCAGAGAGTCTGTCCGCAGGCGAAACAGGAACACAAAGATGAAGGGCCGGTTGACATACACAACGACGCGTAGCTTCTGGGACTTGCTGTTTTCTTGGGCATTTGCGCCTGGACGCATGGAGCCACGCATCTGCACTTCCGTGAGCGTAGCACCGCCTGTGTCTGTTTGGCTATGCGGCAACTGGCCAGTGTGAACGCCGCTTATTCTGTTGTCCTCTAGTTCAGCATGGATGGTTCGCAGCACAGTACGGGCGTCGCGCTCGGATTCTGATTCATCAGACGCAGCGCCGTCGTCGTCATCGCCGCCGTATGCTTCCTCGATCTCACCCTTGAGGCCGATGAGATAATGACCAGCTGCTTCCTGAGATGGAGAGGGCTTAGGTGTGGGAGGTCTTTTGGGAACCGCTGGTTCTGCAGCCTTCGACTTAACTTGGTCGGCAGTCTTCGTCTTGTCTTGGTCGGCAGCTTGCTCGGTGGAAGATCCAGAAAGACCAGGGACACCAGGAATGGTCCAATATTGACCATAGCCAAGCTTTAGGTAGCTCACCATCTTATCAAGTTTGCCATCTTCAGCTCCAGCAACCTGTGGTGTAGATACTTGGCCGCCGCTCTTTGCACCCTCAACCGGCTTATCGTCCGTTGTACTAACTGGCGTGTTGGGTGTCGGAGGATCGGACTTCTTGGTTTTCAGCTCCTTAATTGTTGACTCGCTGCTTTGCGTCGAGAGCCCCGTAGGTTTTGTTTGGCTCACGCCTTTTGAATCCGCTGCAAGTGCCTTGGTGATGTCACTTGGAGGATTAGCTTTCTTCGGTCGCGTCTTTCGTGTTGAGATTGGGCTCTCAATCACTCCGTATGCATGTTCTCCCCATGTGTACAGGTCCTCCATCCAGTGCGTCACGTCTCTCAGAGACTTCCTGGAAAGTGCACCTGTGCCTAGGAAGATGGCTCCGTCGTCTATTGAAGGCTCCCTCCCACTGCCTAACCAAGGCGGCGCAGCTTGGCCTCTTGATTCTGATACATTGTCATCCACGCTGCCAAACTTGGACACGACTAGGTCCACGAGACCCTCTGTCCTTCCAACCAGGCCTTCGAGTACCTCGCGCTCGCCGCTGCCGCGCTCTTCTTCGCCGACACCGACGCCAAGCTCACCCGAGGCCGCAATATTGATGCCCTGATAAATATCTCTGGCGGGGTTCCCGTGTAGCAGGACATTCCAGGTGGACAGGTAGAGATCCCAGTAGCGGCTGAGGACCGCGACGAACTTGTGTCGTGGTAGGCGTAAAAACAGAGAGCTCAGGGAGACATCGTGATGCATTAAGAAGATGCGATGCGCGCGCTGGAGATCACGTAATACGAGGGCTGCGGGTTTCATTTCCTTGGTGTTGTGGTCATACTTTTCCTCTTGCGACTCACCATTCTTGGTGATGAGCCGCGGTGGCAACGGTGTCTTGTTAAGATCGATGCTCTGGACAATGAATCAGAAGGATCAGCACCTAACACGGCGGGCCAGTCGCTCGTTGGGTCGTTGACTTACCGCCAAGATCCACCACCCGGACTCGAGCTCGTGCACAACGACCCTGGTGGTCTCCGTCTCGATGCTGTCGACGGGGTCGCCGTCAGTGAAACCGCGGCTGAAGCTGACCATGCCCTGGGCGAGGCCGATCTGGCGCAGGCGCTCATTGCGCTCGTCGGGCGAGATGCCCTCGGCCGGGCGGCCTCTTGTGCGCGCGCGTCGTCTCTTAGCGGGCGCGGCGGCCTGCGAGGTGACGGAGGAGTAGTAGACTATCTGGTCGTCGATTGTATCGTCGGAGTCGCCGAGGGATGGATTATAGATGGCGAGGAAGCCCAGCTGCGCGGGGACAGGGGTGCCCGACGCGGGGGCCGCCATGACGGGCTGGGTGAGACAAGCGCGCGGCGAGCAAACGCCTGGTATTCTTGAACAGCAGGTATGCGTGTGAGATACTCTTGATGGAATGACCCCTCAATTTCAGACCCGGTACCCCACGTCGAACCTGGGCTGGGCATGGCCAGTTGCGTGTTGAAGAGGGCACGGTTGCGTGTTTGGCGGGGCAGCGGTTGAAGGAGGTACGTCGTGGTGACGAGGCTGCAACGCGCTTGCGCTCATAGGCCGGATACATCCGTCAGCCACAGTTTAGATGATGTATGACTAGTAGAAATATTGTCATTTCTTTTCAGTTCAAGAGAATTTTAATTTCCTTGGATATTATAAGCTTTACTTGCCCTTCTAACAAGGAAGCCGCCTTGAAGCTCAGTGGCAGGCTACTGTACCTATGACGCAGTTGTGGGGAGCCTACTAATGTATGAAGCATAACATTACAGCGTTTGCTATGTAGTTCTCTTTCTACAAACGCAAAAGTCATTCACAACAAGACAAGAAAATTACAGTCATGCTATCATACTCGGTATCTCGAGATTCCGCCTAAAATGTCGGATGCACAGCCACACTCGCCTACAGCGTGTTTTCGCGTCTCTTCCGTTATGTATATGATACCTTGGGTCGCGTTCTGCTTATCACAAGTGGCGTCGCCCGCGTGGCGCACCTGCGACCAGATTGCTGCCAACTTGGGGGAATAGTTCAAGGCATAGCAACAGCGCTCCGAACTGGCCGTTACGGCGACTGTTGGAAAAGCCGTGACGCTCGTGATTGTGCCTTTGAGAAACTCATGAGCCAGCTCCAGCCCGAAAGCCTTGACCAGCTGGCCGTGTGTTTCCGTTGCGATGCCCACGACCTTGCAAGTTGAGTCGTTGCTCTCAGACACTCAATCACGAGATAGGACTGCGCACATCAGATGACTTGACCACTGTAAAATGGTAAACAAATGTTGGCAGCACTAATTAGAAATGTATGTACAACATACATTTATGTTGCAGCCGCTGCGGTGAAGAGGGCGGGCCGGCCCGCGCTGATGTTTGCCAATAATCTCGTGTACAGCAGCCCCCCCCGATCGGATCAGCCAGACAGCGCCAACACGTCTCGGGCGCTTAGCTGCAGCTTGGAAGAATGCATCGCGATGGAATTAGAAATTGCTTGCCTCGTGAGACCCGCTAAGAAGACTATATACAGATACATTATATGCATAAAATGGGCTCGTGTAGTTGACAACGCCGGGCTGTGTGAAGAAACAAATACACCCCCCCCCCCAGACTACTTCTCTCCATCTCTCCATCTCTCTATCCTGCTCAATCTGTGCCTTGTAGCATCCCGTCCACCAACTTGTCCGCCTCCCCCCCATCATTCTAACCGAGTGCCCCTCTTCACCTCTGCTGGTGGTCGCCGCTGGGCAGCTCGTGGACCTGGTTCTGCTGCACCGGCGCGTAGTAGCCCGCCGATGTCGACTCCGACTTGGGGTGCGAGGCGCCGTAGTACTGCTTGTTCTGCCAGTTGCCGTCGCCGCCGCCCATCTCCTGCGGCGCCTCCGCGGCGTCCACCTTGCTCCTCCCCCGCGCCGCCGCCCCGCGCCGCCGGAAGAACCAGACCGCGAGCCCGAGCAGCGCCAGCCCGGCCACCGGCCCCACGACCGCGCCGGCGATCCAAGCCTTGCTCGCGCCTCCACCACCGCCGGCGCCTGCGGACTCGGTCGGTGAGGCTGTCGGGCTAGAGGGGGTGCTGCTGCTTGGCGACGTCGTGACGCTGGCCGAGTTGCTCGTGGGCGTGCTGCCAGTCGAGGCGGAGGAGGGCTTGGTGCTCGTCGTCTTGGTGGTGGTGGGGGTGACGGGGACGGTGTCGCGGTAGGCCTCGAGGGCGTACCAGTACTGCGCGCAGAAGATGCTCGAGGTGACGTCGGCGCGGGCCCCGGGCGCGGACATGATGGACATGGTCTGGCAGACGGCGGAGCCCGGGCAGGCGCCGACGGCGAAGTTGTCGTAGCTGATCTTGTTGTCGTGGCAGGCCGTCGGCATCGGGCACCGGGTGCTCTTGTCGCAGCACACGGCGTACGTGCCGGACGTGGCGAAGGTGCCCCGGGGGCATGTGAGAGGCTCGGCTGTGGGTGAACGGTGTTAACAAGAGACTTCAAGTCGATGATGGAGCTGTATGCATGTTTGGCCAAGGAAGGGACCTGCGTACTCGTGCCGTCTGGGTGAATGTACCATCCCTCAAAGTTGGGGGAGGCAGTGACTTGGCTCGCCATGATGGATGGAAAAAGGTAGTATGTGATATAAATAAGACTCTGGATATGAGGATCAAGATGAGAGAGGGTATGTATGTCGCTGTCAGTACGGATACCAGATCACTCTATCCGTATGGGGAGGGACCTGCAGGTTGCAGCGAGGCAAGATCGAGAAACTTGCAGAGGAAGAAGCAAGGGCCCGGAAGGAAGGGGGAGTTTTGTATCACCGGCTGAAGAGATAGTTTGAGTCGGCGGCGGCGGGGAGGGCTTGCTGCACCTATCTGGATCCCTCAGCCAAAGCCTGATGCAGAGGAATACAGCAGGCAGGGGGGGGCCTGCATGATGGTGTGGGCAGAGACTGCAAAGAGTGGCATCCCCCAGGCAGAATAGGAGGACATGGGTGTCGATCAGAGCAATTGGCCTTGTTTGCTGCCCCCGTAGTGGTATGAAGTATTTATGTAGAAACTAATAAACGACTTTGTGACGGAGAATAATGCACATCTAACAAGAACAAGATCTGTAGCCCAATCGTCTCACGGAGTAACAGCCTTGGCTAACTAGGTAAACGAGTTGTGTAAATTGCTGCGGGCTCTTTCTCTAACTTGAAAGAGTTCAGGGCAACCCGTCTGGTTCTTACCAGCGTTGGGAACGGTTTCTTTTTCGTTTTAGCGAGAGGTCCCCAGATCTACAAGCAGGCTAGAACTTCAACTGCCGTGCCATGCAGTGCGGCTCGGCGTGTGGTGTCTGCAGGATCTGGACGAGGGAGGTAGCCTTGGGCGAGTAACTACAACTACGAATTACGCCCGCCCTCTTCATCAACTCTGCAGTATCAGGAATTCCAAATTAACGGGTGTCATGGCGAGTCCACCCTCCGTCTGGAAGCCACGAGCAAAAAGAAAATAAAAAGGTCAATAGGAAACAAGCCCCTGTAATGGGTGGGCGGCCTGGGGGGCAAGCCCGTCAGCTTGGCTATTGCAAGGTCAGCCTTGCCACACAACGCCAAGTACTACTGTAGACCCGGGAGCCAATGGCAACAGCATTGGAGCATCTCTTCTCGCAGTTGAATGGTGCTGTAAGCGCTGTGTTGCATTGCACTTCTCCACTGGAGGCTGTGAAATTTGGTTCTAGCTTGTTAGGCCGCCACGTTGAAGGGGGGCGGGATGGATCGAGGTCATGGAGTTTTGCGGCTCTTTTTTTTTTTTTCTTGCGGGAGGCGGTCGGAGGATGAGAGAAGACGGCCGGCTGAATAGGTTTTGGTTCAAGCGCCCGCTTCTATTTATGTCAATTCAAAAGAGTGTCGTCTGTCACTGTTGGACAGGAACCGTCGAAGGTGAACCGCTGGAAACGTCTTCGGCAGATGGGTCAAGCGCTCCCCTTATTAAACGTGATCGTCGGCGATTTCTCTTTTGGAAGTAAATTACGAGAAGCCCGTGACAGTCGCAGCATATTGAGGGGAGGAGGGTTTTCGATCTCAATGGTCAACCTGGAGGCGGCAAGTTTCAAAGGAAGCAAGCTGTTATGAGCATGGTCAATTTCCTTATCGAGACCATAGTCTGCAAAGTATTCTACTGTACGTGTGAATACTGATAGATGGATCATGGGGGCGGTCACCGTCTTGAAAGACAACGGCCTGTCTTGGCTGGGCTGTGCGAGTGCTATGTACTAAGAATAGCTCAGCGGAGTCCTTCACTCACTCACCAATAACTCACTGAAGGGTCTGGAAGGTCTGCAAACGCAGCGCTCAATGAGCGGTTCATTGGATATCCAGCAACGCGCGGGCAAAAAAGACTCTCGATATGAAAACGCGACAGAAAAACATTGACCGTGTGATGCGATGCGACGCGATTGCCTCATTTTCATCAACTTGCAACACCCACATCCCCATCCCATCTCACACGGCATGAATGTGCTCTTCGAAACAGACGCTGGGTCAGCCACTTGCACAGAGAAAGCTTGTCTCCACCTTGTATCTGGGGCAAGACGGGCTGTGCCAGGACAACGGACAACAGACAACAGACGAGGCTCTGTCTTTTCCAATGTCGTATATGACTTGCTTTTTTTTACATGCGTTTTTTTTTTTCGTTTTTGACATGAAACTTTGAATAGGCGACTTGTCCTTGCGAGCCAGATCTCTCCCTCCCCGGCTTCTCATTGCTTGAGTAGCTGCCTCGTATAGCCTCAGGCCGTTACCAGGTACCCGTCAACCTGGTGAGCTACCTCTCTCTCTGACAAGGTAGTACGTCATCCGTCCACCTCATCACCACCACGCCACAATACCGTGATCAAGGATTTCCTTTCCCTTCCTCTTCACAACCACCTTCATCGAGGCTTCCTCGCGCTGCCAACAGCATCGCTCAGCAACCAGAAACAAAACACATACACATACCGCCATGGAGCAGGTCAAGCTTCTCCGGCGTCGCACCGGCGACCTGCTCGCCAGTGCCCAGCAAAACATGGCCAGCACCCAGCAGAGCTTCCTCAGCAGCGCCCAGCAGAACCTCCCCGCCTTCTCCATGCCGCAGTTCAACCTCCGCACCCTCACCCAGTCCTCCTCCTCCCCTCCCGCCGAGCCCACCGCCACCTGGCAGCGCATCGACGACATCCCCGCGCTCCGCCGCTCCGGCCACTCCCTCGACATCGTCGGCGGCAGCGCCTACATCTTTGGCGGCGAGCTCGACCCGACGTCACCCGACGGCCGGCCCGAGCTCGCCGACAACGACATGCACGTCGTGCGCCTGCCCGTCAGCGGCGCCAGCACCGACTACCTCCGCATCCGGGCCGTCCCCGAGACGCCCGACGAGGTCGGCGACGAGGCCGCCTCGTCCGCCGCGGGGTCCGAGGTCGGCAGCGTCAGCAGCCCGTCCCGATCCAAGGGCAAGGGACGCGCTATCGAGATATCCCGACCGGACTTGGGCGACGTCCCCGCGCCGCGCGCCGGCCATGCCACGGCGGTCATCGGCTCCCGCATCTTTCTCTTTGGCGGCCACGGCCTCGGCCCCAACCCCGACGACGACACGACGACGACGCTGCCGCCGCCGCCGCTAGACGAGGCCGGCACCGTCTGGGTCTTTGACACGCGCACCCGCGCCTGGAGCCGCCTCGACCCGTCGCCCGCCGTCAAGGGCGGCGCCATCACCATCCACCCCGCCGCTCGCACCGGCCACTGCGCCGCCGCCACGGACAAGCCCCGCGATTTCGGCCCGACCACCACTGTCACCTCCTCCTCCTCCTCCTCCAACACCACCACAACAGCAGCTGCTTCTTCCACTCCCACACCCGCCGCCGCTCCCGCCAGCCCCACGACTCTGCGCGCCAGGGCGCAGAGCTGGCGCGACTGGGCCGTCGGCGACCTCCTCGCCACCGCCGTCGGCGCGCAGGAGCCCGCCGTCGGGCACGTCGCCGAGAACGCCGTCGACGAGGAGTCCCGCGGCTACGGCACGCTCCTCATCCACGCCGGCCGCCTCTCGACCAACGGCAGCACCCGCGGCGGCGACGTCTGGGCCTTTGACGTGCGCTCTCGGATGTGGTCCGAGCTGCCCGCCGCGCCCGCGCCCGCCCGCGACGCCGCTGCCCTGTGCGTCGGCCAGAACCGGCTCTTCCGCTTCGGCGGCATCGACGACGACGAGGCTGCTCTCGGCGGGCAGCTGGATTACCTGCCGCTCGAGGTGGAGACGGCGGACGACAGGCGGCGGCGCGGAGGAGCGAGGGTCGAGGTGGCGGTGCGCGCGCGCGACGCCTGGCAGACCATCGTGCAGCGCCCGACGAGCACGTACAGCAGCACCGTGACGCCCGCGACGCCGCTGTCCTCGCCACGCGCCTCGACCTTTTCGGAGAGCCTCGGTAGCGAGCAGCAGCAGCAGCAGGACTGGCCGTGTCCGCGCGGCGGCGCCGTCTTGGAGGCCGTCGGCCGCGAGGCCGTCGTGCTTGCGTTCGGCGAGAGCGCTGGCGGGCAGCCGCTGGACGACGTGTGGGTGTTCCGGGCGCCTCCCGCGCCGCTGCTGTCGGTCATGCAGGTCGTCGGCCGGCGGAACGCGACGGCGGCGGCGAGCGCCGAAGGGGGCCGGTGGACGCGGGTGGCGACGCGGCCGCACGACGAGGACGAGGAAGAGGAGGGGAACCGGCCGGCGGGAGCGTTGTTGCTGCCTCGGGCGCGGGGGCTGCTGGCCGCGGCGTCGATGAATAACCTCGAGGACAGCGGGTTGCTCGTCTGGGGCGGCCGGGGCGAGGCCGGGGCGAGGCTCGGCGACGGCTGGGTCTTGCGACTGTGAAGATCGCCGACGTGGAGTATGGTGCGGTCATTTTCGGGGTCGGCGTGGGAGGTCGGATCACGTATTGCGATTGTATAGCGAGATAAGTTTGTTCCCAGTAGGACCTGGGCAGATGAGCATCTGAAACTTGTGCATAAAAGATGTACCAAAAACTGAGCCCCTAGTTCTGAATACGAAACTGAACATTTGAACAATTCAATCAGGAGTGTCAGTACCCGCATTTCACGAAAACTACAAATGCCGTGATGTAACTTTAGTTGGTCATTGTTTTAATTTGTATGTACAAGTCCATGATAACCTCTATCGTTCCCAACTCAACAATATGCACCATCTTTCGTCACACCTCCCTGACCGACGGGGGCGTAGACTAGAAAAAATGGCAGCCGACAAAGAGAAAAAAAACAAGATATCAAAGGGTGTGGTGGCTACAAAGCTTTTTGAGGCCAAGCTGTTGCATCAGCAACCCCGTACACAAGGTCGGGATTTTTTACTTCAGCTTCGCCTCTTCCGTATTTCTTTCCCTTTCTAATTTACAAATCGGCTCGCGTCGTCTCGATACCCCAGGGCTCGGACGTCAGGTTCGTTTGGCCCGCGCTGTTCTCGCAGGTTTGGCGGCCGCTGAGGGGACCGGCAGCCGGGACCTTGCCCGAGGCCGCGCCCGCCTTGAGGTCCTTGAGCAGCTTGACGACCGTCTCGGGTGTCAGGTCCTCGTAGTAGTCGTCGTTGATCTGAATCATGGGGGCATTGACGCAGGCGCCCAGGCACTCGACCTCGATGAAGGTGAAGAGACCGTCGGCGGTGGTCTCGCCCTGCTTGATGCCCAGGTGCTCCTTGATGGCCTTGACGATGACATCAGAGCCGCAGCCGCCGAGTTGGCAGGGGGTCTAAGTACAAGTTAGCGGGGACGTTGATCGGTACAGGCACGCCCATGAGTCTGCGAGGACTTCTCGTCGGAGAAACCTCGCCCGTCCACCGGCGTCAAGAGGAATGGAACGTACAGTCGTGCAGGCCTGGACAAAGAACTTGCCGACAGGCGTGCGGTTGTACATGGTATAGAAGGAGGCGACCTCGTAGACGCGCATGGGGGGCATCTCGAGCAGACGCGCGACCTCGTTCATGACGCTGATGCTGGTGAAGCCGTGCTGGCGCTGGCCAATGTCGAGAATGGGCATGACAGCGGCCTTTTTGTACTGGGGAGGGTAGCGCTTGAGGATCTCGGCAATGACCTTTTCGTTCTCGGCGCTGAACTTGAACGGGATATCGGGGTTGTTGTCTGGTGTGTTGCGGTGCTAGGGAATTCAACTCGTCAGCGGGCTTTTTCTCATCTTGCAGATTCCGTCCCGTCCACCCCGAGTCGTCCAAGGCCCCCTCAACAAGAATCAATTCAGCCAAGAGGCGCATAGACGGCCACTTGTCCGCCCGCCAACAGACTTTTTGGGCACTTCTGCACCCCGTCGGCTACCTGGCTGGTCTCAAAACGCCTCTCTCGGGGGGGGGATTCGGGCTTTGAGCACTTCTTCTGCCTGGCTGGCTGTCGTTCGGGGGCACGGGCGACGTCTCGGGGAGAAAGCGGCCAGTCCATCAATTGCCGTGCTTACCACGCTGAGTGTATCGCTCGGTCGGGTCGCTGAGACGGAAAAGGCGCGGCTCGTCTGGGGACGGACAGCGACACGCGCGGAGGCGCGGACGCACGACCGGAAGAGGGGGGCGAGCTTGCTGGCCATTGTGGTGTGTTGGGTCGATGTCCTCCAATGTTGTCCGCCGAGCGACGCGGATACGGGTTGTCAATTGGAGGGTGGCGGGATGGAAATGGGATGAGGGTGAGAAGTCAATTGGAGCTTCTGGAGAAATGTCCTTGCCTCCCGACGCCAATTGGAAGCTGCTTGCAAAATACGTTGCCATGATTGGTTGAGTGTGGTTGTGGGCGGATAAATATCGGCTAGGCGGTACGTACTTACATGTCTGACCTCCGCCTCGACTTGACAATTTCACAGACTTAAACCCTGAGCGATCCGTGAAGTTCGCTGGGCCTCTGGCCTTTTCGGGGGAACATCAACTCCTATTGATTGCCGCAATACGCGCTGAACATGAGGGAATGAGTTGATTGATTAACAGTTACCTGTGACTGCTACATGATGTGCCTATATAGATATATATATATATATATCTAACATGGTTCGATGGACGTGTGGGTGTGTTGACCAGAGGCCACAACCATAGTATATTGGTACATCATACAGTGCTCACAGTCAAGTTTTAATCAATCAACCATTTCTCTCATGCTCCTGTGCCTACGCTCATCGCGCTATACTGTGCCAATCAGTAGGGGTTGATGTTTCATTGAAAAGTCCAGAGGTCCAGCGAACCTCGCGGGACGTTGATTTAAATGAGGAAGGTGAAGGGAATATGCATTACACAAGAGGCCCGGTTTTTTGGTTCCAGATGGGGTCTTTTTTGTTACCAAATTGAATTGAAATATTTTGTCAATATTATTTGGCTGGCTTCAATATCGAGCTACCGCTTCAAGCTCACCAAACCCACCAAACTCACCATGGCGGCCCAGGCACAAGCGCAAGTTAGGCTGGTAAAGCTCAACCCAAAAAACCAAAGGAGGCCGGTATTGAAGTGGCCCATTCACTAATCATCACCAAGCTTCACCACGTCTCCTCTCGCTGCTCCTGGATCCAGAACGTGTTCATCCGAATCTCCTCCTCCAGCGTCCTTGGGAGCGTCGTCCGCTCCGCCTGCCGCGCCCTCTCCTCCGAGACCTCAAACTCCCTCGGCAGCCCACCCACCACGTCGCCCCTGCCCATCATCCTGCGCGCCACCGCCACGCCGCTGCGCGACGCCGCCGGCATCCCGTGGCCCGTGTAGCCCGCACTGATGAACAAGCCCTCGCCGCCGCCCAGCGCATCCGGCACCGCGCCCACCCACGGGTGCCCGTCGCGCGAGTAGCCCATGATGCCCGTCCACTCGTACGTCGCCGGCGGCAACTCCTCGGGCTGTAGAGAGAGGACGCCATGCAGGGATCTTCGCAGACGGGCGCTGATGTCCGGATCGACGACGTCGTCGCGGGAGGTCTGGCTGCGGGTGGCGGCGTCGCCGGAGCGCTCACCGCCGATGATCAGCAGCCCATCGTCGCGCTGCGCGAGGTAGTCATCCGCGTCGTCGGGCGTGCTCCAGATGTACGTGTGCTCCAGCGGCCCCGCGTCCCCAGACGGCGGCGGCGGCCGGAACGCGGCGACCTGCCCGCGAGTCGGGCGGATCAGATCCGTCATCTCCGGCAGCAGCCTCGACGTGTACCCGTTCGTCGCCAGCAGCACCTGCCTCGCCACCACCTGCCCACGCGTCGTGTGCAGCACCCACGAGCCGCCGCCGTCGCCACCCTCCAACCTCTGCAGCCTCATCACCGGCGTGTCCGTCTGCAGATTGAACCGCAGCCGCTGCGCCTCCTCGTTCCGCCCCAGTAGCGTCTCCAGGACCCAGGCCACCAGCTTGTACGGCCACAGGCTCGCCGCGTTTGGGTGCACCACCGCCGCCCTTGCCCCCGGCACGCGCAGCCGGCGCAGCTCCGCCGGGTCCTCCACGAACACCGCCTTGTCCGCCAGCGCCGGGTGGTGCCTTCGCAGCAGCCGCACGCTCTCCTCCGCGGCGCGCGCCTGCGCCTCCGTGGACAGCCGGCAGACGGCGCCGACGGAGCGCCAGTCGCACGGCACGTCGTGCGCGCGGACCAGGTCCCGCAGGAAGAAGTAGTTGTCGAGCTCAAACTGGGCAATGGTGGGCTTGCTCAGGAAGACGAGCGGGTGGCAGTGGCCGCCGTTCTGTTAACCCAAACTCGTTGTCAGTCGGACGATGGGGTATGCTGCAGGAAGAGGAAGGAAAACGTTTACCCGTCCGGTGGCGCCCCAGCACGCCTCGCGCGCCTCGAGCATGAGCACGTCCCGCCCGCCGTCGACGAGCTCCCGCGCGGCAAAGGCGCCGGTGATGCCGCTGCCGACGACGACGACGTCGGCCTCGGCGGGGAGCTTGTCGGTGGTGCGGTGGCCGAGCAGCGCCGGCGACGGGTCGTGGTGCCAGTACGAGTGGGTGCTCTCGCGGGTGGGCAGCTCGGCCTGGCCCTCTTGCATCTTGATCCGCGTCATTGTGTGCAAGGTATAAAATTAGATAACACACAAAAAGAATAAGCTTGTGTCTCTTTTTTCCCTTTTCTATACCCCGTAGATTTCCCCAGGGGCCTCTTTTGATGAGTTCGATGATGGGAGAGATGGATGTCGGGGGTGAATCAAGGTGGGGGGGTCTTGCGGCAACTTAACAGAGGCTGGCGCCACATGTGTGTGGCTCGGATCTGCTTGAGGCAAACCACCAGCGACATACGCAGCCTGATGACGACGACTTCGTCGACGCGTCGCCCAACAATTTCACAATTTCGTCGTAAATGCGGGTACAACGCCTGCTGCCTTACCAGGCTTTAGGTATTGCCATAGGGCTGTATCCAAACTTTCCCGAATTCGGTTAATCCCAAGTCAATGAGTGAGTGCACCGTGTGTGTATTGGGCAAACTTCACTAACAATCACAAGTAGTGCAAGCAACAGTCCAAGTTAAGCCATAATGTGTTCATGCCATTTCTTCGTTAGACTCATACGCAACAAAATAAACGTCGACTAAAATGTTCGCGACTCCCCCTTGCTGAGATCCATACCCCTTCAAAGTCCTATCGATGTCCTCCCATCTACTATGATACGTATATATTTACATGTTCCGTAAACGCCAAAAATCATCCATGAGCAGTAATCGTGTTTCTTTCTGTGGCAATGCAAGCCAGATTCTGTGTGCCCCTTTTCCTTTGCTTTCATAGCACAATATCCCTCTCCGCATATATATATTCCCAAGTTGACCCTCGGGACTAGTATCCACTGGCCATATATCTAATAGTTCACGTGTAATTTGTTGAGCGTCGCCGTTGCGGTCCGCCATTATTTCTGTAGCGGTACTGTTGACGCCTGGTAGTGGTATGTGTAATGCCAAATAACTCCATATAAATCATGTCGTAGTGTAACTTCGTGTGTGGCTGTCCTGGTCTGGTTGGGAGCAACTTGCAAAGCCCTTGCAAAGCCATCGGGTTCTTGCCATGTTTCCAACTCAGCGATATTTCCTTGTGCGCTTCTCAGCACTGCTTCCAATCCAATCGAAGCTCAAGGCATATCCTTTCATATGTATCCAGCATTGCTCTTTGGCTAGATCGGATGTTCATCAAACTTCAAACATCCGTCATTTCGGTATCGCTGTCAATAGCAATCGCCACCGGGGGCATATCGTCTGGTCCCCAGCTACCTTCGTAGACGGTGGCAGGCGCTTTGCGGTGTTCAGCGACCCACTGCAGCCCCTCGAGCTCCAAGATTTGGTTGATACGAGGTCTGTCGTTGGGCTCCCGAGTCGTCATCCAACGAACAATCGAGTCGAGGGAGCTTGGGTGGAAAGCATCCACCATGAAGGAAGGCTGCTGGCTGAAGTCGCTGTCCTTGAAAGCATCCGGAACATTGCCTGTGCTGTGCTTGCTGGCCAAAAGCTCGCCGCTGTGCACAACTTCAAGGGGATTGCCGCTAGCATCACGTTGTACCTCATTCGAGGGTGTCCAAGTGAGGCTGGGGACTTCCGACAAATCTCCAGATCGGAGGGCAATCCATGTTGGGCCATTTTCCGGAAGCATCACGTTGGCCGCAGCTTCCAAGATCATGAGTCCGAGAGAGAACACATCAGCCGGTTGGCCAACCTTGCCTTCGAGCATTTCGGGGGCCATGTATTCTCTGTCGCCTTCCGTTTCCACGCTGTCGGTGGCAGGGCAGGCCTGTGCGAGACCGAAATCGCCAATCTTCAAAGCACCCTCAAAGTTGATGAGGATGTTGGCAGGCTTCATGTCCAAGTGCATAAACCCGGCATCGTGAATCTCCTTGACGCCTAGAGCAAGGTCCTGCAGAATCTTGAAGATGCGGAAGTCGTCCAAACGTCCAGTACGGCCAACATTGCCAAGAAACTTCTCCAAAGTACCTTCTTCACAAAACTCGGTCTGAATGTAAAGATGGTTGTTGCTCTCCCAGTCGTCAATGTAGTGGACGACATGCTCGGCATGAGACAAGGCCTGAAGGATGCGAGCCTCACGTAGCTTGAGTTCACGGTCCTTGTGGCCCTGGAAAGGGTGCTTGCTCTTCTTCACGGCATACACTTGGCTCTTTGCCGGACTCTGGCCAAACTTCTGGGCGGGCGTCAAGCACAGAGACCCAGAGAATAGGTTCTGGTTCGTCTTGGTGACGCGATAGACGGTGGAGAATTCGCCTTTACCGACTGATTCAATCTTGTCAAACCTGGAGTACAGGTCTTCGTCGATGTCAAGCTGGCTAGTGCGGTCGTTGACAGGAGTGACAAAGACGCTGGTAGATGAGCGAAAGTCCCGGGCGGTCGTGGGCGTAACGGGAGGAGGCATAGAGTTTTCACCCGCCTCGTTGATCTGCGAGAGGGAGAGGCGGCTTGTATCAAGCGGCAGCATACCTTCCTGTGGAGTCTGCGGGGTACGTTGTCTCTCGATAGGAGACGCAGTCGAGGACCTTGGAGGCACCTGTTTGACAGCAGAAAGAGGGGGCAGCGCAAAAGTGCGGTTTGCGCTTGGGCTCTCCAGAGATTGCTCACTCAAGTTGCTGAGGCTAGGGGTCAAGCTATTCTTGGTAGGTGTCGGAGGGATATCAACGTCCACGCTACGGGTCAGATCAGTTGCTTCACCAAACAGCGTGCGATCCTCGCCATCAAGACTGAGGACGCTGCCCCGACGGGCACGGAGTCCAGATGGCCCGCGCTGGAAAATGGACATGCCCTTGGCAGTATTGCCGAATGTGTCGGGTACACGGATAGGTGCAGCCGAAAATGGTGTGGAGGGCAGGCCAGCAAAAGAACCTCTGCTGTTGCCCCGTTTCCTCATGCCGCTTCCCGCCTGAGGGGGAAATGTAGCAAACGGATTGCTGTGCTTTTTGCATGGTGTATCAGGTGGGGCAAACTTCTTGTCTGCCTCCTCTTCGGGGTTGCGATTCACCTTCGAAATCAATCCCGTCGAGTTGAAGGCGCCAACCCATAGATTTGAATGATTTGGCGTCGCCACCGCCTTGATGTGGTCATGTGTGGATCGTGCAGTAGGCCGGGTAGCGTTCAGAGGAAGGGAGCGGGAGAAGGGATGCGGCTTGGGGCGTTCAAAGGTAGGCCTGGCTGGTGCGTAGAGAGCAGGCTCTTCTTCAGTCAAGCTGTTTCCAGAGGAAGACGTGGTGAGAATCTTAGAGAGGGGATGGGGTTGGTGCGACTTGCTATCCATGGGGTGGATGGATGCGTTCGGCAGAGGCGATACATTGGAAAATGGACTGTCTCTGGGTACTTGCGGGGGGAGAAAGTGGTCGGTGGAGAGCCGCGGCCTGCTTCTACCTGGAGTCGAAACATCTGAAGATAGTTGCGCGAGTTGGCGCTCACCAGTGCGTCTGCCCAGAGAGCGCTGCTGGAGGGTTGATTTGCGGAGAGAAGAGGAGCGCTTAGGAACGGAGGAGGGTGAAGAGGAAGAGAGAACGTCGCCTTGAAAAGCGACAGGCATCGCGGAGAGCTCGTATTCAGGATGTGAGTCCTCATGAATATCAAAACTTTGAGATGAGGTGGTGTTGCTGCCAAAAATGCCGAAGCCTTCAGGGTTTCCAAAGGCGGCGACGCCGTGCATGCTACGGCGTTTGGCCACAGGACTGCCTTGGTTAGGATGATCCAAGTTCATTGTCGCATCACTGCGCTTGAGAGCACCGGTGGTCGAGACCATGTATTCAGGCGTCAGATCCAGTGCTTTGAGGAAAGCGGCCTGAGAGGAGCCGGAAACGTCGAGGTGAAGACTGTGGCGCGAGGGCTTCTTGTCAAGGGTCTTGAGGGTAGCGGCGCTTGCGCGGCCGATTTCCTGGCCAGGAGAATATCGAGTTCGTGGTGAGGCCGAGGTAGCGGGGCGGGCGTAGTTGATGGAATCTGATGTGGTGTTGAGACTGCGTTTGATCGGGCTCTTGGGCGAGGCGCGTCGTGCCAGCTGGCGGGCAGGTGATAAGGTTTTTGTAGACTTTGCGCTGCGCAGCGACAGTCGAACGCTAGGTCGGAGCGGCGTCAAGACGGGTGATTGCAAAGGCGTGGTAGATTGCACTGGTGCGGCGGCAGGAGGAGCAGAGTGCGGCGGATTGGTAGCAGCAGCAGCGAGCCGATGTTGATGTTTTGGGGTGAGCACAAAGCGTCTAGAGGGCGTTCTGGGTGAGGTAGGCAGCGAGTGGTCGGAGCTGTGCGAGTTTGTGCGAGAGATAAATTTGGATGGAGATCGCGAGAGAGAGCGTCGAAGCGTGCGCACGGCGGATGATACGTCAATCTGGTGGGCGTGAGTGGGAGATGGCAGAGCCAAGGTGCCGCCCGAGTTGGAGAATGACATTGTGTGTTTGTTATGAGAAATGCGCGGCGAGTGCGTTGATAGCGGGGCGCGCAGGAATGTCGACGAAACAGCTGCTAGCCTCTAGTGGCAAAGATGCGAGGTAGAAGCTGGAGAAGAAGGGTCGAGTTGAAGCAAACGGATTTAAATGGGGGAAGAAGATGAAGATGAAGAAAAAGAACAAAGGGCAGAAACTCCGAGGTTTGGGTATATAATAGTCAAGGTAGGTAGGTAGGTGGTGTCGAGTGTGTTTCGAGGTATCAAACGGAGGCAGGTTTGTGGTGGGTATCGTATCGTTATAATATGGGTGACAGACCAAGGCCGGCTGGCTGCTTAGTGAGAGCAGACGTAAAGGACCCAAAATAGAAAGAGGACTTGGTTAGGTCGACACCATGACTCGGAAAGCACAAGTTGCACAAAGACCAGGCAGAAAGTCGTTGAAGTTGGTGGTCAGCGCCAGTGATGATGCGGCGTACGTGGTAGGTAGCGTAGTCGTGTCAGGAGGCAGACAGTCTACCTTAGTAGCACATGGCTGGTCACACGGGACGGGCACATGCGAATCGGTCCTGGGTCGAGAGGGCGAGTGCGCAAAAGAAGCCGGATATTCTGATCTCTTTATGATCTGACGGCCGCGGGCACAATCACATCCACCTTGTCGTACAAGCCCTTGACAGTTTCCTAGGTTATGTGTATCTAGATTCCTTGCGACGGTCGAATCTCGCACGACGCAGCCCGCTCTTTCTTGTTAAGCGACGAGGACCATGCCTTCGGGGCAAAAAAAAAGTGTCTGACAGAAGCGAAGCGAGCGTTGCAGACAAAGATGACGATATCTGATAGCGAAGGCGGGAGAGTCCGTTTGTCGAAGGGAGCGGCCGTTGACGGTGGCGGATCAGGTTATGGTTGAGGAATGTAGAAAAAAAAGCAGTAGGTAGGCGCAGGGTCCCGGGAGTACTAGTTAAGGGTAGAACGGGAGCGAAGTAGACAAAGTAGTAGGGTGAGCAGTAGGGTAGTGGTGAGGATGGATGGGGCAGAAAGAAGGAGTTAGCGCAGGCAGCCGATAAAGAGAGCCCACTCGGACGGGCAAAGAGACAGACAGACAGGTCGAGTTTGTCGCGGGTCGGGTCCTGGGTCCAGATATCTGACCAGGGGGGTGTGCGTGGAGAATGCAGGGTGAGGTTGAAGCAGTGGACAGGAGAGAGAGAGAGAGAGAGAGAGAGAGGACGAAAGAGTCGCGACGAGGCGGGTGACGCATTTGTTTACCATGTTTCCTGATTGGGCTAGCGCGTCGCGCCCGAGACGCGTCAAGAAAGAGGATGGGCCCAGAGGCTGCTTGGCTCGTGCGGGCCTTGTACTGGGGGAGGACAGGGACCGCAAAGACGATACAGGGGGTGATGGGGGTTGGGTTGGGGACAGCGGCGAGCCTACAAGGGGGGAGCGAGTCCACTGTTCCGTCATGCCATCCACTGAATCCACCGGAAAGGCCGCTGGAGCCTTGCCACTGCCCAGACTGACTTAGGCATGATGCATGATGGCAGTTCACAACGACCCCCCGTTGCAGGCAGATGCAGCCGCTGTGCTGGCGGTTTATAGTGGCCTGCGCCCGCTGTAAATTTGACCGTTGGTTTCTGGTAAGTCTTGTTGACGATGCTGATTCTCTGTACCAGTAGAAAGAATGAATGGATGGATGGAGGGGCGAATGCCACCAGTGACAAACACACGCACCTCTTCAACCACCACCAGTTCTCACAAGGATGTCCCAATTTCTATCATATTCCACATACTAATTTCCACTTCCCAATACTCCGTACCCTTCATTTCTTCTGTTTGCCATGCTAAGGTATTTGATGCTTGGTCCGAGAGCCCCGAACAGAACAGGGTACCTGCTGCTATAGATTGGTGGTGCTGCGAGGACGAGTCTGCGGCGGCAGCGCCATCCCGTGTGCCTGTGTTGTGTGTGTGTGTGTGTGTGTGTGTGTCTTGTCTTTTTTGTTGTTTTTGTTATTGTTGTGATTCTGTCCTCCTGTCTCCCCGCCTCCTGTCCTGTCTATCCTGCACGCTCCTCCCCTCCTCCCCATTCTGCAGACACCCTCACTCCCCTCGCTCATCTTCACTCTCTCTCCCGTCTCCAGCCAGCCACAGCAGTCCCAGCCAATCCTTTAAGCGACCCTCCCACAACTTTCTCCTGCAACCTCCTCCTGTCTGCAGGCCCCAGCCCTTTCGGCGCCTCTGCGAACCAAAGAAACTCTTGCGACATTGTCTCTCCTGCCACGGTGGCCGCCGCCACGCTACAGGCCAGCGACAGGCCCGGTTCCACCGTTCCACCACCGTGTTCCCGCCTCACCCCAAGCCCAAAGCCCAAGGAGAAGCGCCAGGTACGACGACAGACAGGCTCCGGACGCACCATCCACCGTGCCGGTGCGCACGCCCGCATCTCAGGCACATCTTGCAGCGAGTAATCGTTTGCCATGTTGCAGCTCCTGCTGCTTACTGGAGCAGCATCCATTTTTGCCACGCTGGACTGCGTCGAATGTAGCCTGCTTTGCGTGTGCTGCTGGTGGTTGTTAGTGGCTCTCTCAGTACCAAGGCACTGGACCCTGTCTACCTGTAATCCGTATCTCCAGCACCGCCAACCAGTGAGCCATCTTGTTGCGCCTCAACGCAAATCGGACGACCCTGACCAACCTGACCTGATAATCTGGCTTCTGCTCTCCAGCCATCTGCCCATCCTTGCCAAGTTTTCCAACTGCTGTTCTTCTTTTTTTCTCAACACCAGCAATCTCGGCTTCATCATCCGTCGTCGTTAGTTTTCTTGCTTTGGCCACCACCACCACCACCACCACCAGAACCACCCACCATCATAGACGTGCGACATGCTATTTGCATCTGTATCTGCATTCATATGCGTGTCCTGATCCTTACCAGCTTGTTCGATCTACACTGTCTCTCTCCTAGTTTTCTTTTCTTGCTACTCTTGCCGAATCGTCTACATCATCGTATTGCATCAGCATTGAATACTTGTTTTACTGGCACATGACGCCGCGAAAACTCCTCCAAGACACTTGCCGTCAGTGGGTCGTCCTCGACGTGATGGGCTGGACGCCCTCCCATGTTCTCTCAACGCTCTCTCACTCACACTCTCTCTCTCTCATGCCCTCTTTCGGTCTTCGTAATTGAGCTACTGCCGATGCCCAACCTTTGCCACATCAGGCACTCATCGCAGCACTGTCCCCCCCTTCTGTCTTTCTTGCTTCACATCTTGCCGCCTTGTCCAACCGTGCACCCGTCCTGTCCTCTGTTGGACGAGCGGTTATTCGTACGTCGACGTGCTACCAACTTGATACTACTGAAGCGTTACTCCGTAATCTGTACCAGAAGACGCGAGCGGCGCGGCCCCTCCGCTGTCCAGATCGGGACAAAAACAAACAAAGGGCTTCCGTTACGTGTGTGTGGTATTATGATGCTGGGTTTTATCAGTTTTGCCCCTATTCCCCGGCCTCTTTCTCTCCACACATGTACCAGGGGGCGGCTCGGCTGGGTGTACAATTTGCTCTCCTCTGTACAGATCCGCACAGTACACAGTACTCCGTTAGTACCAGGACTGGTATCCGGGCCTCACTCTGGACAAGGGCAATCGACGGCAACTACCAGTAGCCATTCATCAACCCCCTTTGTTTTCTTTTCTCTGCTTTCTTTTGTTTTCTTGCTTCTTTTGTTTTCTCTTCTTTCCTTTCTTCCGTTCCTGATTAGACCCCGGTCAGCATTCGCCCGCCCAGCCTGCGCTACAAGTTGACTAGCTTGCGGTAGACTCAGCCCAAGCCCGGCGGCCCGCAGGCGGACGGAGTCGAACCCGGGGTTCCGCCCCAAACCGCTTGTTTCCATCTTGGGCCAGACTCTTGCTCCTGAGAGGAGAGAGAGCGCCGGCCGGCTGGTCCCCTGTAGCAGGTTAGTGTGTCAGTAGCTTCCCGTCAATGTCAATGCAATGGCGCGTCCCGAGTCGCTCTACTCCAACTCGAGCTCGGCTTTTCTATTTTGGTTGGTAGCTGGTCGTGGTCATTGTATTGATTGACTCGAGCCATTGGTTACCCATGGCATGTCAGAAGTCTAAGGACCCGGTCTTCACAGCTACTCTGCCCTATTCGTAAGGGTATACGGAGTACGGATACGTAGGTCGACAAGTTCATGCAAACTGGTGGGTGGCCGGGTCGAATCGTGGCCAGGAAATCCGAGGTCGTCGCATAACTACTTCGTACCTGTAAGTCTCAAGCAGCCCACCTGCGGCCAACACTCGCATTCTGACGCTTCGGGGACCCCTATTCTCTAACTACTCCGTACTGGTTGCTGCATCGTCCGCGTGACAGTGCAGCAACACTCTACCGAGTCCTTTTTTTTCTTTTTTTCTCAACTTTGTTCCTCTCTTGTTGTCTCTTCGTGGAACAACTTGCCCCTGACCGCCCCCGTGTACCCCGTACAAATCGGCGCAAGTCCGTCTGTCCTACCTCGCCGTAGCGCCGGTAACACCTCCGCCGAACACAAGGCGGTAAAGGAGATAAGAGGAGATTTTCCTCAGGCCACAAGGCCGTTCTTGTGCTCCTCGCCGCATGCGGGTTGCAGTGCAAGTGCGCGACGAATGCCGTGTTTGAAACCCACGAGGCTGGGTTGATCAATGATCATCGAGGCCAGCCAAGGGGACGAACAGCCGAGTTGCAAGGACATGGGGAGGCCTGGTCAGCCCATTGACCGCCTCACGCACAGTGCATGAACGGAACGACAGACTAGTTGATAAACTAGTTGAGACGGGTGGCTGAACAAATTTATCGCGTTATTTTTCGCTCTCTTATTAATACTTGCGTGGCGGGGGAATGGAAATACCCTGGTCGGGCGAGCCAGCCGCTGGATCTGGTGGTGGGTGGTAGTGGATGTTGGTGGATTTTGTGAGCCCTAATAGCAAGGCGAGGCCAGGATGAGATGCAACCCAGAAACATCCTACCCTATATGCCATGTAAAATATCCAGTAAGAAAAAAACAAGGCATTGCATAGCCATTGACGAAATGTTTATTATGCGCATTAAAAATGACGGTTCCCTTTGATTCCCCGCTTGTTATGTGTATATTGTGGTTGATATTATGATGAAATATGTGGCGTTGATCGTGGTTTCCTGTTTTCGCAAAGGATCCTGACTTATACGCACATGTACATACGACTGCCCTTTAGAAAACAGCGAATATTAGGGCAACATCAGTCATTCAGATGTAAAATCAAATGCAACACACGAGCACTAGGTAAAAGGATAGATCAAGCTCAAACGCATGCATATTCAACCAGATAAACAAAACGCACACATGCTACATGCTATCCCCTGCCAACAACACGCTACCACGTTCATCATCACCATACAGCCCAACTCCTGATCCTCATCCCTCGTAGTCGCTTAAAACATGTCCATCTTCTCAAGATGAATCGATCCGTTAGGAGGCTACCCCAGGAAATAAAAGTCAGCCATTGATCAGGCTACCAACTTGCCCACACCTCGTCCGGGGGGAGCAGCACATGTAAATCACTTACCGGTGTAAACTGCCTCAACTTGACGCCCGCCTCGCGAAACACCGCCGCCGCCTCCGCGTCCATGCTGTACCCCCGCGCGTACACTACCTCGTCGATGCCCACCTGGCAGATCTTGATGCTGCACGTCAGGCACGGGCAGGTGTCACAGTACAGCACCGCGCCCGGCCGGATGCGCTCGCGTCCCGCCTCGAGCAGCGCGTTCTCCTCCGCGTGCAGGCACAGGCACGTCGCCAGGCCGACGCCCGACGCGCACCCGCCGCCGTTGCACCGGGGGCACCCGCCGTCCGCGCAGTTGCGCAGCCCACGCGGCGTGCCGTTGTACCCCGTCGACACCACGCGCCGGCCCGCGCCGACCAGCACGCACCCGACCCGCCGCTTCATGCAGTTGGACCGCCGCGCCGCCAGCGCCGCCAGCGACATGAAGTACGCGTCCCACCCGGGCCGCAGCCGCTCCGGGTTCGGCACGTCCAGCTTGCCCAGCGTCGCGTACAGGTGCGCCAGCGAAGGGGAGGTGTTGAGGAGCCGCACCGTGGCGCGCGAGATGAGCGGCTGCAGGCCTCGCGACGGGCAGTACAGGTGCGCATCGCTCGCGGCGGCAAAGTCTTCGAGGGAGAGCGCCGAACGCGCGCCGCCGGTGAGGGAGGAGGGGGAGGAGGACTCGGCGCGCGCGGTGTGCCGGCGCCAGCGCGCGAGGAGCGGCGCGTCAGTCGAGATGAGCATGAAGAAGGGCCGCCGCAGGAACACGTCGAGCACCTTCTCCGTTGGGATGTCCGTCGTCACGAACCGGCTGCGCCAGCTGACCGTGACAAAGTCCAGGAGCGCCTCGGCCGTGTCGAACGTGTGGCTGTCAGGCCGGCCTCGCATGGCGAGCGAGCGGGACGAGTCGCCGCCCTGGGCGGCCGCCGAGCTGGAGTCGGTGGCAGGAGCGGCGGCATCCTCAATTGGGTTCTCCCGGGCGCCATTCACCTCCTTTGCATCGTCGCGGAGATAAAGACGCCTGAAGCCATGGTGGTCGACAAGATACTGCGCCACCGTCTTCTTGCCAGAGCAGATGCCTGCCCCGCAACCGTTAGTCCACAGTCACTGCTATATTTAGCAGGATTTATTGTTTCTTACTTCCGCAAATACCAATGAGCATGGTGAGTCAGATGCTGCCCGCTAAAGACTTCTAGGTGGGCTTTAATCTTATTCTGGTAGAGGATGAGAAGGGTCGTGATGGATTGAGGGACGTGTCTTGGGCGCGGATCGAGGTGGGTCTTCGCGTTTAAGAGGTTTTGCTTCAGCTGTTCAAATTGAGACAGCGACCCTCTGCATCCGCAAGTACTTGGGCGAGGGCCGGTTTACTTTATTGCGGAGTACGGATAGAGTTCCCGTCGATTGTGCTTGCCGATATTGCAATCACCACATCTTCCTCTGCAGCATTATGATTCGATTAGAGCTCAAATTTCAAGTTTGGGCGCGGAAGCTGCTGTTACTGTCGTACAGAGAAGCAGACCTGGGCGCCAAGAAGAAACAAAAAAGACGAAAGTCATTACCAGCTAGAGATTAAAAATCAAGACAAATAGAACTGGAAGAGTAGAATCTTTCTACAAAGTTTTGCTTAGAGAGCAAAAATTTAAGTTCTCCGGTACAGGGAATCGAACCCTGGGCTGCTCGGTTCCTTGTTGAGAGCGAGCGATGTTAGCCACTACACCATACCGGATGTTTTCTTGTTGAAAGACCGTTCGTTATTTACCATTATACAGGTATACAGAACTCTTAACCTCGACCGTTCCAAGTTTTTTTCAGCACCTATAGAGAGCCGCAACAATACCTATAACCATGGCTTACTTGAAAAACTATTAGACACTCTATACTGTGTATTTAAGCTCCATCATTCCAACCCTGCGCCATTTATCCTGGTCATCATTTTCGTTCGCCGTTGTCGTTTTGTCCCCAAGGCCAGCCACTTAGCCCCGCGGCGGGGCAACGGACGTGGGCGCGTGCATCATCTGCATGTCAAGCTGTCATGACGGTCTTGGTCAGATGACAAACCAACCACTTGCGCTTTATTCATCACGACACGCTCACAGCTGGATCTCCCAGAAGAAACCATTCCTCATATATCTAATATAGACCACAAGCCATCTACTATAGTGTCACATCGACAAACCAAAAGCCGAGTGCGACCAGTGCACAACGTCCGCCGACATAACCAACAAACTACCCGACCGATCGCGACAACAGCGCGACACGCGCAGCTGCAACCATGGCGACTCCTTTGCAGTTTGCCCCCTTCACATCCGAGATTGAGCTGCCATTCTACTCGGCTCTCTTCGCGTCCAAGCTCGACTATGACAAGCTCGACGACTCGGCGCGCGGCGTGCTTGGACTGTACGAGCCGCGCGCGGAGCAACCCGAAGCGAGCTGCAAGATGCAGATCCTGGGCAATGCCCTGACGAGCAAAAAGTATGGAACAGCACTGAATATTTCTCGTCGAAGTACAGTTCTTGAGATGGTGGTTTAGCGACTAACTGGTGACGTAGCGCGCCGCTGGGCATGGCCAGAGCTGAAGGTATCATACGAAACGTGAACACGCTTGAAGATTTTAAGAATATGGACAAGACTGCTATGCTGAAGACGGCAGGCCGGCAGGTAAGAGACGAAAAAGCTCTAGTCATCGCCATCGCAGCTGTATTAACAGGTACAAGATTTGGGATGCCATTAATGATGGTACAATCTACTCGGTCCCGTCGCTTCTCTCATCATTCGTCATTCTCTCGTATGCCGACTTGAAGAAATATAAATTCACATACTGGTTCGCCTTTCCAGCGCTTCATTCAGACCCGACGTGGAACCGTTCAGGTCCCACCGAGCGCCTCACACCAGACGAGACAACCGCCCTCGTCGACCGTGTCGGCACATGGCGCTACTCGGTCGACGGACGCGAGCACGGCTTCTTCCTCGCCAAGAAGGTCCAAGGCCGCGACAGCGCCAGCCACGACGAATACGCTGATGAGGTCGAAGAGATGGAGCCCGACTTTGAAGCAGAGTCGGCTGCCAGAAAACTGCCATACCACTGGGCCGTCGGGTCGCTGCGACGTTTCGAAGACGGCTTCTTCAACAACGTCCCCGAAGAGGACCAGTACGTCTGCTTCGTCGACTCGTCGACGCACGCCGAGGGTCCGTCATGGCCGCTGCGCAACCTCCTCGTGCTGATCCGGCAGCGGTATCGCCTCAACAAGGTCAAGATCCTCTGCTACCGGGACACACGCGCGCGGCGGCACGAGGCGCGGAGCATCATCCTGCCCCTCCAAACGGACGCGGCGTCCGGCCCGCTCGCGGAGATGCCCAAGGTGACGGGCTGGGAGCGCTCGCGCAACGGCAAGCTGCAGGCGCAGCAGGCCAACCTGGGCGAGTACATGGACCCGGCGCGGCTCGCGGACTCGTCAGTGGACCTCAACCTCAAGCTAATGAAGTGGCGGCTGGCGCCGGACCTCGACCTCGACGGCATCCAGGGCGCGAAGTGCCTGCTGCTCGGCGCGGGCACGCTCGGCGGCTACGTCGCGCGCAACCTGCTCGGCTGGGGCGTGCGCAAGATCACCTTTGTCGACTACGGCCGCGTCTCGTACTCGAACCCCGTGCGGCAGCCACTGTTCGAGTTTACCGACTGCATCAACGGCGGCCGACCCAAGGCCGAGGCGGCCGCGGCCATGCTCCGCCGCATCTACCCAGGCGTCGATGCGCAGGGCCACGCGCTTGCGGTGCCCATGCTCGGCCACCCGTTCACGGACGAGGCGCGCACGCGTGCGGACCTGGAGCGTCTTGAGGCCCTGATTGACGCGCACGACGTCATCTTCCTCCTCATGGACACGCGCGAGTCTCGCTGGCTGCCGACCGTCATGGGCAAGGCCGCGGGCAAGATCGTGATGAACGCGGCGCTCGGGTTCGACTCGTACGTGGTGATGCGCCACGGCGCCGAGACCATGCAGGAGGGGCACCTGCCCCTGGGATGCTACTTTTGCAACGACGTCGTTGCGCCGGCCGACGTAAGCATCCTCTCTTCCCCGTAACCCCCCTTCTCAATTCCTTTGCCAAAGCTAACCAATGACGTTGCTGTTCTAGTCCATGAAGGACCAGACCCTCGACCAGCAGTGCACCGTGACGCGCCCCGGCGTCGCCGCCATCGCCTCGGCGCTGCTCGTCGAGATGCTCGCCAGCCTCTTGCAGCACCCGTTGCGCAACGCGGCGCCCGCGCCCGCGCACCCGGCGTCGGCCGCGGAGCGCGACCCGCCGGACCACCCGCTCGGCCTCGTGCCGCACCAGATTCGCGGCCACGTGTCGACGTTTGCGAGCCTCGCCCTGCGCGGGCAGAGCTACGACTGCTGCAGCGCCTGCAGCCCGCGCGTGCTCGCGGCGTACCGCGAGGACGGCTGGCGCTTCCTCCGGCGCGCGCTGCAGGAGCGCGACTACGTCGCGGAGCTCTCGGGGCTCGCGGAGGTGCAGCGCCGCGCGGAGGCACTGGCGGGCGACGTCGACTGGGACGAGGAGGACGAGGGCGTGGCGGGGGATGACGACGGGGAGGGCGAGTTGCTGTGATGAGGAGATGATGACAAAGGTGTTTATCGGCGCGAAGGATGTCTGATTTGAGTAGGAGCGGAGGTTGGCGTTTTTCCTCAACGATGATGTTGGCTTCTGGGAGTTTTCAGGCTCGTTCAGGCAACGGTCAATGGCGTACACAAGGTCTATTATTACTCTGCATCTTTACAGGGCTTCGTTGGAGTTTTTCTTTTCATAATTGTATTTAAAGTACGATAGTGATGGCCATTCATGTTTGCAGGACTTGTTTTGTGTGATTGGCAGTCATGGCGCAGTTCTCCAGAATCCATGCCTTGAGCCTGGATGGCGTGTGTGTGCTTTGGCGGCGCCAGGAACCGTGCAACGTTGGTACATCGAAATGTAACGCGGCATCGCAGTCTACATGCACACACTTAGCAGGCTACGTGGAATAAAAGGCCAATCGGGTAGATCCAAGATACATGAAGCGAGTGATGTGCAGCGTTCCATGGTTTAGGTGGTTCATGTGGTTCGATCCACTGGCGTGGGCGGCGTCTGCGGCCTGACGTAATGATGCGCAAGCCAGAAAGAATAGCGTCACAGGCACGACTACAGCAAGTTTCATCGCCGCGTCACGATCAAGGTTCTGGGGAAAAGTCTTTGGATTGATGGGTATCGAAGAGAAAATTATCGTGGCCAAAATATCGCCCGCGTTATACAACCCAGCGACACTCCGCATCTCCAAGTTTCGTCATTAGAAAAGCGGAACGGTCGTGAACCCGTTGCTCATCACACAACAAAGCTGCTGCAAAAAAATAACCAAGAGAAAGAATTCGTCGTCGGCCGTCGTGTAGATTGAGGGAGCGTGCGATGAGTTGCCGCGACCGCAAAAGAGACCAAGTGAGAAGAAGTGCGCCGAGGCCAAGAAAGAATACGCAAAAAGGAGCGAGATGAGTGTCGCGACGAGAGCCGAGGTGAGCCGAAAGCAAAAAAGACAAGCCAAGCACCATTTTACAGGCTGGGATGCGATAATTACAAAGCGCAGCTGATGAGCTCGGGAGACCGGGGCGGCCGGTGGCCGCCGTGGGCGCTTGGCGGATTGCACAGGGAGTCATGATGCAATACCTAAGCTCTCGTCGCGGTTCTCACACGGGGTCGCCCGCCGGCACACTTAATACTTGAGGATGATGTAGAGAGCGTGGATGATACCGGGGATGTAACCTGGAAGAGGGCAAAATTAGCATGGTGTTTTTTTTGTTGTTGGGGGTAAGCGCAAAGGCAGGGGGGTTGGGCTTACCAAGGATGGTCAAGCAGATGTTGATGCAGAGGTCAGCACCACAGCCACGCTCCAGGAGGACACCGATGGGAGGGAGGATGATGGCAAGGAGGATTTTCTAAGGCACCGTTAGTATTCGAGACGAAAAAATGTCTGGCCAAGCTTGTTGTTGTAGACGTACGCAAATGTCGCTAGAGAAGAACAAGTCATGTTAGCTGGGTTGTTTTGGAGAGAAATTGGGCGCCATTCGCGGGCAGCAAACAGGCGCTGCGACTGTTGTTGTTGTTGTTGTTGCGCCCTCTGGTGAGCGGCAGCAGCAGCAGCAGCGGCGGCGAGAAGGAGAAGAAGAGGCCTACCTGGCGGTGAAAGGCATGTTGGCGGATTAAGAATATAAAACCGTTGGAAAGTTTTGTTTAGTTGGTGAGGTTCTGGTGTTGGAGTTGTTGGTGGTGGACGGGATTGAAGTTGGAGGAGAAAAACGAAGAAAGGCGGATGGGAAGGCGGCGGGGGGGAAGGAAGAAGCTTATATGGTCCGGGCTTGGGCAAACTTGGCAACAAAGCCAGCAGCGGAAGGGAAATAATAAAGCGTCGCAGCGGGAATGAAAGGCAGTGTGTATCTTGGCTGGGCTGGAGGGAGGCACGGTACCTCTGCTGGTAGGTACATACATACATACGTACATACATACCTACATAGCTTGGATGGAGAAGGGCCAGTCGGGGAACTTGGACGAACCAGAGCAGCACAACAGCAACACTGGGGCCGGTGTCTCCGCCTTGGCCGCACACGGACGGCTCAGCCACAGCAACCAGCCCTGCTGGGTGCGACTGTGACTGGGCTGTCAACCTCGCTGGCTTGCGACTAACAAGATGACTGGACTTTTATTTCTCATCATCTATTGATATTCAACAGATTCGCAGCCTCTCCCGCCGGCGTGCCAAGAGTCGAGCAGCCTCGCGAGAATCGCGTTGTCGGCGTACCGGTGCTAGTAAATTGGCATAGGCGCTGGGTAGCTCCGGTAGCTTCTGCCCCACTACGCCTGCGCCCAATCGGCCGCCAGCTTGGCTCTGCTCCCTTCTCTCCCGTTTTCTTGGGTGATTTGACCTGATCAGCTCTCCATCTACCGCTATTCTCATAAATTGAATGACAATAAAGACCCAGTTTCTACATGCAGCCGACTTTTACCTCTGCTTCACCTCATCGACGATTGACAAAAGGCCGTCCCGGCGGGGCAGCTCGCTTTTCCAAGTGAATCAAGCTCGGCACTGCGTCATCGACAAGCCACACTTGCTAGCCACCAAGCCCCACCGGGCCCTATTTCTCCTACGTTTTATTGTTTTTTTTTTTTTTTTTTTTTTTT